ATTTATAGTAGATACACATAAACATACACACATGTATGTACTGTTGTTAGAATTAGAATTTTAAATACTATCAAGTTGACGCATCATTATTTTCTGAGAAAAGATAACTGAAAATAAGAAATTAAGCACGCGTTGTATCAAAAGAAAAAAGAAAAAGAAATTAAGCACGCATCTTTTCTGGATCACACCACACCCTTGTTTCATTTATTTTTTGTTTTCTTTTATTTATTGAATCTCCCTACTTTGTGTGACTATGATATTTTGTTCTTCCTTTTAACTTTTTTTTTATGCCATTCAAATGATTCCTCTAATTAGCTGATGGCCAAAAACAAAAAAGTTGGCAAAAACAAACGATTCCTCTTAGCTCTTTTTTTTTTTTTTACTATCATAAATTAATCAGGGTGTGTCTCCATTTAAACTTAATGACTTTACGCTAGGGCATTTATAAAGGGCATTTATAAAAATAAATAAAAAAAAGCTGTGACGTATTTAAAGCATTTAACCAATAACAATAATTTTTAATATTTAAGAATAACTATTTGTTTGTTGTATTTAGGGATAGAGGAAGTGCTATAAAAAAAATATTCATGGCTTTGTCATGGATTGTGCAATCATTTCGAGTCACGAGCTTACTTTTAAATTAACAACAACTAATAATGTAATATTGTTGTCATTGTGATTAAAAATTCGTAGGAAACAATATTTTAATTGGTTATCCCACTAACGACAAGAGTGTTGATTTTGCTAATGAAATATTTGGCCGAATATTTTTGAAGAATTGAATATTAAAAAAAATTAATTAAATTTATAAGGAAATAAAATTTTATTATACTTTGTTGATTGAAAAAAAATAGTTAGAGAAATTTATAAATGTTTAAATCATTTTAATCATTTATTGAATTAGAATTATAAATTTTAGGATCAAAATAAGCAAGACTTTGTTGCACTTTATTGATTGAAGAAAATGGTAAGAGATAGTGGTAAAATCTTAAATCACTTTATTTATTTTCTAAATTAGAATTGTAAATTTAAGAATTAAGGTTGTGAACGAAAAAATTATTGCCTTTTGAGATTAAGAGGTATTTTTATTATTTTATTAAAATTTTTAATAACAATTAAGTTCCTTGAGATGTAAAAGGCATTATCACATATTGCAAAAATTAAATTATCATTTTTTTATTTTGAAAAAATTTATTCGTGATTTTCCCATAACAAATTGAGAAATGATTTTGATTTGCAAGTATTGAAGTGTGCCAACCGGATTTGGAATTATTGTTACTAATTTCATTAATACTGAAAAATTATCAATATATATATTTTTTCAAAAATTCACAATAATTCTTATAATCAAAACACTCCCTATGCATGTTGTTCTCTAAAAATATAAGATTTGATACTTTATTAGTACTATAGAACAAAATCTCTTACAATTGTTTAATTAAATTAAATAATTTTCATCATATCATGTGAGATACTTATTAAGTGAGTAGATTTAAGCTACTCACCATATTCAAATTTTGTGAAAATTCTAGTAGCTATTTTGTCCATATAAAAAATCTAGGACAAATTCGATTTAAAAAATTAGCTTGACAAATTACTAGCAATAATATTTATTTTCTATTGTATGCTTTTATTTTTCTCTAACGTCTCTATTAAATTGATTAAATATAACTTTTTAAACATTCAACAAATAAATAGAGATTATTATGATTATAAATTTAAAATTTAAATATATTGAAAAGTTTATCTTTGAATTAATGTGTATATAATAAACATCTACATCAATGATGATAAGATTTCTTAGAAAATATATCATTATTATATTTTTTAAATAAAAATTTAAGTGAGTTAAATTCGAATACTTTTCATAAAGTCATGGCATATATTTAAGCACAAATATAGTAAACTAATATGTTTTTTATATTAGTGGCGAGATCCAATTCTACAATATTTAATGTCATTGACCAAAGCTTTATCAATTTTTATTGGTCTATGGTTATGTTAATGTACTTATATGACATTTAACACTATCAAGTTAAATTTGATTATAATTAGTTATAATTAGAGGCACCAAACATGATGTTTTTATTTATGGAATTTAAACTTCTAATCGTATTTCAGGGAAATTGAATTTTTTCCCCACCCTGCTCGATCTTTGTGGTTGAAACATGCATCATGATTTTAAATTTATAATTTATTTTTAAAATAAGGACGACTTTATCAATATTTTAATAACAATAGTAATTGAATGCAATAGGCGATCGCGTTTGTTGTTTCTGTCGTCTAATGAGTTCTGACCAGCCTGGTTGTCCTTGTCCATCACGGACAAATAGAATCTCTCGACTCTCTTTGAATTTTCATAAATTAATTAATAATTAATGGCCATGTTTCAGTAGTACTCCTCAACGTTTTTTTAATTATATTCTGTGACCAATGATGTTATTGTTATGATTAGAAGTAAAAACCAAGTCACAAACTTGTACTCTTCAGCAAGGACAAAATATATAAAATTAAATTATATTTAAAAACTATGATATTCATTATTTTTTTTAATGAAAAGAGGGCTATTCAGGATTATTTTAGATCAATTAGTATTACAAATTAATTATTAGAGTTGTAAGTGGTTAGTGGTTAGCAACTGTTCTCAATATCCAAGCTCTATTTTGTTGTGAGAATTTATGTTTTAGTTCGTACTCATGTAAATGGAGAGGAGGAAATGAATTTTTCTTTGAAGATTTTTGTTTTTTTCTATATGTAATGGATTGCATTGGCTATTAGTAATAAACAATAGTACAACACAAGTCATCACTTTAAATTTTTATGTAAAATGTTAATAAAAAATATTAAAATGCACGTCTATGACTCCATTTTGATTTAAAGCATGACAAAAAAGTGATAAACTAAGGTCAAGTCTAAACAAGGGTTTGGTTTAGGTGCTCATTGCATTGATGAGCAATCTAGATTGCTTAGATATTAAAATATTTTTTATTTTATAATAATTAAAATAAAAGTTATAAAAGATAATAAATTTATTTTATTATTAACTCAGACAATATGAATTTAATCTTATGATTCAACTCAATGTTAAATTTTTATAAACTAATTATCTAGAACTGCTCTGGATAGTTTAATTTTAAAATTTTTAACTCACAAATTTTTTTTAATTTTTTAAAGTGTCAGTTTAGATTTTATTTTTATTTTTAATATTATTATTACTTAAACAATAATTTTTTTAAAAAATTAAATTTAAACTGTTTTGCACACATCTAGACAGTAAATTTGTAAAAATTATAAAAAATTTATTTTTTTATTTTTTATCAAAAATAAAATTAAATCTGTATTATTCATATGGTTGATAAGGTAGATTTATTAAAAAAAATTAATTTTAATTTAATAAATATTAAAAAAAAAAAGTAAAATTTATAAATCTGGATGATTCGGATTGATTATCACATGATGAAAACCCAAACTAATTCTGTCTATACAATGTCTCTAGTATTCATAAATAATATATTTTTATTTATTTTTGATAGGCCAACAATAAAATAAATAATATTTTTAATAGGGTTTCACCAAAAATTTCCTAGTAGACTTACTGTTTCAATCTTTTTGGCCTGAAAAATTAATCTGAAAACTAAAATTTAAAATTATTGTTGATGTCAAAAATTTACAAGCATGTCTATCTGAATCAAAGAGTCACAGAGTCGTAGTTTGCACGAGTTGCAATTCTTCAAAACATAATTAAAATGTTTATAAAAAAACATAATTACGACATGATTTACACAATTTATAGAGAGCCGAAATTTCAATCATGTATATTTTATATCCATTTTACAGGTTGATCAAATAATATTGGGTTAAAGTATATTTTAACCCCAGAATCATTTTTAGAGGAGCTATCTTAAAAAACATTGTGGAGAAATACAACACGTGTGTGTGGGGGTAATGTTGCCTCTTTTTTTGACAATTGGCGATGGGTAAAAAAAGTTTTTAAACCTGCATTAACATTAGTTTTCAACTTAATGTTAATTATTAAAATAAATAACATCCTACTAATTTTAAAATATTATGTGTCTTGAACATAATTATTTTCAATAAAAAAATACTTATACACAATAAAAAATATGATGTATTATTTTTTTACAATTTTTAATGTGTTTATAATTACTAATTACTCCCTTTAGTTCACAATATATGATATTGATAAGGAGTATTTCACAATTCTTAAAAAAATTAATTTTTTTAACTTTTAATAAAGTTATACATCTTTTAAATTATATCCTCTTAAAATATCACATATATAAGTAACGTGATGATGAATATTAAGCTTGAATATGATTGTTTTCAATGCTTGTACATGATCAAAAAAAAGTTTCAATGGACCATTTTTTTGTAAAAAAATTTGAATGCCTTATATTTTACTGTATATTATGAACAATGTATTGAAAATGAAACAAGGTTCAAAATACTGATTCAAAAATTATTAATTAAAATGATAACCAAATCAATTATAAAAAATACTTTATTAAATCAATTAAATTATAAATTTAATAATTTATTAATTCAACCAAGTAAATTGACTCGGTTTCTACTAGGGTGAGGAGTGAGAACTTGGAAAATGTATTCCCCGATAAAGCAGACTGTTTAATGTGGCCGTACCACATGTCAAATGGAACGGCAAGTGCTATTGTTGGGATTTTGCAATAGACTCACTCACACACACAATATAATAATGCGGTTATATTCAAGCGATATATACGTGAAAAATGCCCACCAATCCCTGCGAATGGAGATTGGGTGGCGCACGTGGTCACCGACCAGCAAAGCCTCACTCGAAAACACGCTCACCACCCTCTTCACGAAATATCATCACGTCTTTTATAAATCCAACGGTCTCGATTCATTCCTCACATCGCCGCGCGAAAAAACAACGCCACGAGCCCACGAGCTTCTCTCTGTCTCTTTTTTTCATTATTTATTTATATTCATTCCTCTTCGTTTTATTTCATATTGATATACCCCTTTGCTGTTTCCTCCTCCTTCCTTTCCCTTCTCTTCTCTCCCACTTGCCCAATCAAACCAGCCCTTTCCTCTCCACTCACTCTCCTTCTTTCCTCGACTACACGTTTGAATTCTCTTTCCGTCTCTGAATCTTCTTTTCCCGCATGGAACGGGATTTTCTGGGTTTGAGTACAATGATTGGTTCCGCGACTAAGAAAGAGGATGCTGCTGATATAGCTATAGACGCAGGTAGTGGTTCTCTGCTTCTGTTTTTTGATTTTCTGCTTCTGAAATGGTTAGTCTTTTCTTTTCTTGTAACGGTTTCGTTCTTTTACTTCTTCTGAACCTCAGTTTTCGCTTTCACAACTAATTCTTTAACAAGGAGGGAAAAAAAATGGAAACTTGCTAGCTTGGGTTGTGAGATTCTGTTTTGTTTTCCCTTTTTCTATGTTTTCATTAATTGAATCTATGCATGCAAGGGGACCTCTTCAACTGAGGTTTTTAGGTCTTTTCCCAGCCTTCTCTTTTTACCGAGGCCGTATACTTTTCCGGGAAACAAACGAGAAAAAGAAGGAAATAAATAATGCGCAAATCAATTCCGAGAAACTGAATAAAGTGAAACAGATATATAGTATTACATAAACAAGCTAAGCAATATTACATAGATTTTCCCTTCACTGAGATGAAGTTCTGGTGTATGGCTGAGAATTCCCTGTAGTATTGAACTCTGTACCTGATGTCAGTTCGTGGAAATTAAACTCTTTTATTTTTATCTAGCTTTTGTTCTGACCGGAATAAGTAACCAATATAGGCGATTCTTGAATGGTTGGTGCATTTGCCTACTAGAGAAAAAAACGTGGTCCTAGTTGTCTGTGCTATTATTCTACCTTTTCATAGTAAAATGTGCTACTTCTTTTTCCTGCTTCCACTGGAATTTTGACTCCATCGGTTTTATTTTTAAATGACGAGGACAACCTCGATGCGTATAATAATTATATTTTAATTGTTACCTGTTCAATTTTTAATTCAAGGTTAACATGGGCATGAAGAGTTATTTATAAATTATTCAGCCGCGTTGAGTGGCCTTTTGGAAATAAAGTAATCTTTGAATGAAGTGCGTACAAATAACAATTATATAAGGTACCTAGAGTAAGAAACAAGGATATAAAATAAACAAATGGTGACAGTATAAAATATTGAAAGCTCGTAAAGTACAAGAGCATTTAATACTACTATGTTATGTGTTACATTGGACTATCATTTAATAAATGCCCATCCAGAGAGTTAACTCCTTTTCTTATTATGGGTTCCTAAATTTTCATTTTTTTTTTAATACCTGGCTTGGTTCTGCCGACATAAGTTAACGATAAAGTACTGTACTTGGTCACATGTGAGAAAATATAATATGTGAAGTATTACAAGGACTCAGGATTTTGACACATAAATTGCTTTCAGATCTTCTACTTCTTTTCTGGGATTCATGTGTTGGTACTCGTCGATGTAGTTTTTCCGAGTCTCCAGGTTATTAGTTGGCCCTTGTTATATATACTCTTTAATTTCACTATCGCATTGAGAACTTCTATCCTTAATAAAATTGTTTTAGTTTAGAAGGAATCTCTACTGTTTGTTTCTCCCCAAATTGGTTCTTAAAGGTATCTATGCGTTTTCTTATCATTATCATCCACAAAATCATCTCTTTTTCTTTTCTTTCTGCTTCATTACTATATTTATGAGCGGTATTCTGGTGTTCTAAACTGTTTTCACCTCCAATTATTGCAACAGTAACAGGTTCAGGAATGCAGTGGTCATTTTCTAACAAGTTTCTGCTGTTCCTCAATTGTTGTCCTTCAAGACTTGTCAGGAAGACAGGGACAAGAAAGACCACGTCATCAGCGGATACTTTTGACTCTAACCTGAAACCATTCTTGGGTGGGATCCAGGTTCGTTTGAGCTTCTAACATATTAATGCATCAAATCTCATAACAGTACCTTCTTTTTCTGCAAATGTTCCCTGCGCAAAATTTACCTCGAAATAGAAAATTCCAGTCCTGCGTTTTCTTGACAAGTTTTCCATCTTCTACTAGTTGTGAGAAGTTTCTATGCTTCTGTAATTCCCTGATGCTTATTGATTGCTGAAGTTTGAAAAGTGTGAGTTGTGGTTTTTTGTTTTGAGGAGAATGGAAGACAAGGGGAAGGTAGGTTCAATTTAGCAGTCAAAATTTTCCTTCCCTTCCCTTCCCTTCCCTTCCCTTCTCCTCTCTCCTTAATCCGAATATACCCTTTATGTTTTGCAATTGATACTACGTTTGCTCTTTGTATTCTAGTTCTGTAACTGATCTTCCCTCCACTCGTCTTGTAATTTTGCAGAAAAGTTTAAGCATGGGAAAACAAGTAGGAAATGAGCGTGGAATGACAGTTTATCCAATGCAACAAGTTGATAATATTTCAGGCTACCCTCAAGAAGCCAGAACATTTTCAGTCTCCAACCAATCAAATCAGAGGAGTCCTGTTCTCCAATCTACTGTTAGTACCACTGTCCCTTTGATTGCCCCTGTACCTGTTCTTCCAGCTAATGGTTCCGTTGTTGGCACCACTGACTTAAGGTAATAACATGTTTAAAATTTTTGAAGCTTCATAATGACATAGTAGGGCATTGTAGAGTAAGTGATAGAGCTGAAATTTGAGTTTTTTTATTTTTTATTTTTTGGCAGGAACTCATCCAAAACCTCTGGCAAACCTACTCAGTTGACAATTTTCTATGCTGGTTCAGTGTGTGTTTATGAAAACATATCTCCTGAGAAGGTATATATATCTTGTCTGAACTTTTCATCATCTTTGTTTAATTTTGGATCGAATCTGTTTTTAGATTATTTATTCTGATTGTAAAAGGCCCAGGCTATAATGTTATTGGCTGGAAATGGGAGTACTCCAAATCATACAAAGCCAGTGTCAACAGCTCCAGTGCAAACACCAAACTCCAAGCCAGCACAAGATGATAGGTTTATCGTAAGCCAATCCTACCATTCGGCTTTACCAAGTCCAATTCCCATGACCTTCCATGCTAGTCCTCAGCCTGGGGGAGGATCTCCTAGCACCAATGAACCTGCAATAGTGAGACCAGTAGCATCATCTTCTGCTGCCCCAAGTAGCCATTTGGAGTCTCCTAGTGTAGCAGGCTCTGCAAAATCTGCGTCGACAAAAATGGGTTCACCTGGTATGACCAGCACTCTGGGCTGTGTGCACACTACATTATTTTTATTTTCTACTTCTAGCTTAAGTTAGATATTGTGATAGATAACAAAGTTTCTATGTATTTTCAGTGGACTTGCCTCAGGCACGCAAAGCATCCTTGGCTCGATTCTTAGAGAAGCGCAAGGAAAGGTAATTGCTTCTATTCTTCCCAGTTCAAACATTGGTATAAATGAAGGGAGATTTTGAGGTAGATTTGATCTACCATCTATATATATATAGATTAAATCAATTAGAAAGAGATATAGAAATATGCTTTTTTTGGACCAATAGATATATAAATATTTCAGGTACACTATTTAGTAGGTTCACGTGTCTTTATGTTTAACATAGGCTGTTATTCTTGTTTCATGATGAAGTATGTGTCTGAAAATTTTACTGATTCCTGATATGCTTTTGCATTGCTCAGGGTGACAAGCACATCACCATACTCTATGAACAAGAAATCACCAGAATGTGGCACTCCAGGAACAGATAGTATTGGTTTCTCCATCACTTCTGGTTCCTGCTCCTTACCTGCCATGAACTAGCTAGCTCTCAAGAAGAGCACATAAAGTTTATGTATCATGTAATTTTGCAATTATTTTAGTTTTTAATGGGTAAAGTCCTTAGCATTTTTGTCCTAGTTTTTTTTTTATATTTAATATTTTCTTTGTTCACAGATCTTATATGATTAATTTATTTAAAGCACTTATACTTAAATGCGACTTTCATGATTTTTGATGCTTCATCATGCTGTATAATCAATTTTTCCCCTCCAGCAGTACAATAATGAATTGTCTTCAGATTCATTAACCGTAGTTATTGGATTTCTTACCAAAGTTGTGCCTAAATCCATTGTGTCATGAAAGTCACATTCAGAAAAATTGATTAACGAGGAAGATGAAAATTAGGGAAATTAGTTATTTTTCATCCTTCAACTTTTAATTTTTATCATTCAGTCTTTTTAAGTTTAGCTTCTTATAACTCAGCTTTTCAAGTGCCGTCCATTTAGAACTTTGATCCTTATCGTTAATGATTTAGACTAGACATTGCTTACTTGTCATTAACTCTGTTAATTGTGGCTTATGTGGCATCCATATCAGCAACATCCCAAATTTATGCGGCAACTAATGAAAAAATAAACAATGGAATCATTGGTGCTTCCCTTCATTTTCAACGTTTCCTCCCCCACCCCAACATCAATTTGTATCCAGTGGACCCCTTCTTCTTTCTCTGATTGTCTCTTCTTTCGTTTTGCCTCCCACTCTGTCGCCCTCAGAAAGCCATCCAAAATACATCTGGTGAACATTGTTTCTAGCTACTTTTGCATTTGAAATTTTGGGGTTAGGCATTAATGAAAGAGTTAAAACATGTGACTAATTTTTATTTTGCCATGCTACCCCTCTAATAAACACTAAAAATCTTTTGCCCCATATACCCCTTTGATGATAATGCATATCAAATTCGAACAGCATAAAATGTTAATATTTTTTATTTAATTTAAAAAATCTTAAACATTCAAATTTAATGTTTATAGTTCATGAAATATTCACCCCAGACTCTCTTGACAAAGTGAAACATCTGAATGTTTAGTTATCATTGAAAGTGAAAATGTGCAAGTGGAGTGTCTGTCTGTTTGGGTAGCAAAAATAATCGATGTTTGGTCCAAAAAATTGATTCTCCACAAAATTATCCAAACACCCACTTTTTTGGAGTATAAATTTTTATGCCAAAAATTTATTATTTTTAAAAGTTGAGAATCGAGTTGGAAAAGCTTGTCAAAAATGTTGGAAAAAATTATAAAGACAAGCCCAAAAAAAATTATAAAAGAAGCACATAATTTAATAAAAATAAAACCAAACTCTTCTTCTTTCTCTTTTTTTCTTAATAAAATTTAAACTTTGTATCTTTAAAAAATTAATATTTGGTATTTAAAAATTAAATTATATAGTAATTTATATAGCTAAAAATTAATTTGATTAAATTATTCAAACATCTTCAATTTTGTTAAAATTAATTTTAAAAAAATAATATCCAAACACATTGCGTTATAACATAATCAATTATAATTAAAATTTATTACTTTATCAATTATTTTATAATCTATTATACCTAACTGAAATTCAAACGAGCACTATATAATTTGGAATTCTAATGGAATAGCCTGTGTCCCACAAATTGGAAAAGCAAAAATAAAAGAGAATTTGATTCTGCATCATATAAAGTTATTGATTCTTTCTGGTTTCACTGAATTGTATTCTTCAGTGGGATGGCCATGGATTAAAGGAAGGGGAGAATTTAAACACTTTTTTTTTTAATATATACTTAGTGTGTTTATTTTCAGTTAAACGAATTCAAGTGAATATTTTATAGAATATTTAGTTTATAACAAATTCTTATTATTAATATGCTAAAATTTACTTGTCATAATTTGATTGAATAAAAATATATTGTATATATAATGTTAAGTATTTAAGCCTTGGTAATGTTGTTAATAATATTATTATTAATATATTTAAATCCAAGCATATTAAGTATTTGTGAAGTACTTAACTCTTACTCGAAAGACTTATTTTCTTCACTTGACATACGATGAGTTGTATTTTTTAGTTTATAAATAATGCTATCTATTTTTATAAAATTTATATTGCATTAGAACATATTGTTTAAAATAAGCCACAGCATATGACTTATAAATACTCCCCCCTTAAAAAATGTAAAATATTTTTTGATGGGTTGAATATTAAAAAATATAAAGTATTTTTAATTTTTTAAGGTATAATCATTATTTTTTTTAAAGTATCTCTATTGAATGAACCACTTTATAATTATTTTAGGATAAAATATCCCATTAAATAAGAGTGAATATGAAAGGATATTGTTAGTTTAAAAATAAATAACTACTTTATTAGATGAGATTCAGTTAAAAATACCTTACATTTTTTAATGGAGGAAGTAAATAAAAACTAAAGTGTATTTTGGTCCTCTAGTTTTATATAAGATTTCAGTTTAGTCCTTTAATTTTATAAAATATTTTTTTTTTCAGTTTTATAACCCTAATATCGTTAATTTCAAATAACAATTATTATTATTTTAAAAAATTAAAACTTCATGTGTCAATATTTAAATTTTTTTTTCAACATTTGAAAGTTAATTATAGCAAATTTTTTGTTGATGAAAGCAACAATGTTAGGGTTATATGATTGAAGACATTTTATAAAACTAAGAGATTAGAATAAAATATTATATAAAATTAAAAGATTAAATGTGTACTTTAATAATAAATTATACAATTTTTATAAATATTTTTATTTTAAATTTAATAAAATTTATATTGTTGAACCAGATTTAATTTTAGAAATTCAAATGGATTTTTTTTAGCCAAAACAGAGCCCATTTTAATAATCACAAAAAAAAATCCATTTAAAGCATTTATTTTATTATTTTTTATTTATTTAATTTTAGAAGCTTTTCATAAGAATTTTTTGAGGAATGCTAAAGTATATTTTTAATTCTATAACTTCATATAAATTTTTTTTAATTTTTTAATTTTATAAAATATTATTTTAATCTTTTAACTATAATATCATTAAATTTAAATGATTATTTTTTATATTAATATTATTATTTTAAAAAAATTAAATTTAATATATTAACATTGATAATGTTTTGTTAATATTTAAAAATTTATTAAAATAAAACTAACAATGTTAAGATTAAAAATTAAAATACTTTATAAATTAAAAAATTAAAAAAATATTTTATAAAATTAAAAAATTAAAATAAAATATATAAAATTAAATAATTAAATGTATACTATAATGATTAAAGAATCTATTTTAAAATTTTGTTTTATTTGGATGAACTCTATTTTCTAAATTCTTACAAAATTACCACCCAAATCCAAAGAAAAGACATCACTCTGCAATTATTCGTTGAGGTCGATCGGGTGCCATGCTGCTTAGCTCTACCGCATTCCGGATACATACCCTGAATTCTACCTGCTTCATGTGCTTTCGGTGTGCGAAGCAGTAAAGCAGTGGTGGTCCGATCTTGGATAGAGACAGAAAATGTCAATCGAATATCGATGGATGATGCGAAAGTCGCAGAGCTAAAGAAATTTATCGATGGATGCAAGTCAAATCCTTCACTTCTTCACAATCCATCTCTTTCATTCTTCAAGTCTTATCTTCTCAGGTACCTTAAAGTGCCTGTAGGTAGATTTGCTCTACAATTTTCATGTTGGCTTATGATTTCTTTCTCTGAAACATTTGTGTTACTTGTGCTTGCAGCTTAGGTGCTCGGCTACCTCCAGAACCAAAAACGGTGAGCCCTCCATTCTTTAATCAATTTCTACTCGTTTCTCTTATGCTCCTTTGCTCATGTTCATTTGAAATTTCAAAATTTATCTACTTATAGAATTTGGGTGGTAACTATTGGTGAGCATTGGGATGCATATATGGAAATAAGAATGGCTGAGTTCCTTAGTTCCGATCGTATCCCAAAATGGCGGCTTTGTACTAATTTTGTTGCATTTTAAAATTGGGTGAAAGTTTCTTTTGTAAAGTAGAGTTCTGGCATTTTCAGTCCTGTCTTTTCTGCTTATACAAAACTCATGCAGGAGAAAGTTGAAGACATGTCAGAGCACTCTGATGCTAAAAGAGCTGATTTATCTAGAGAAGATGAAGATGAAATTGTAGAATCTGATATCGAATTGGACGATACTGGTGTTATTGAACCTGATAATGACCCTCCTCAGAAGGTATTGGATTGGCAGGAAATTAGTGGATTTCCAACATTGTGTCTTATAATCTTTAGCCTTTCTATCCAATATTTTCTTTTGAGAGTATGTTGACGGAGGGTGGTTCCCATGGCATGAAGCCCACTCCTGAAAAAATAATTCTAACAATTCTAACTGGTTTGGCAGATGGGAGATTCTTCTGCTGAGGTAACAGAAGATCAGCGGGATGCTGCACAAGTTGCAAAGTCCAAGGCCATCGATTCTATTTCAGAAGGCATGGTTTAAATTTCCTTGATAACCGTTCTTTTCTGGGATCTTTCCTTCTTTGTTTCTTAGAGATCCTTTCCCTCTATCAATTTGATTGTCTATATTTTTCAGGGAAGTTGGATGATGCAGTGGATCAACTAACAGAAGCCATTGTCTTGAATCCCCATTCAGCAATACTTTATGCTACTAGAGGTGCTCTACTAATTCACCTTCCAGAATCGTAAATCTCTCAGTAAATGTGATTTCTTTTACTGCCATCCACACCATTCTTGTAATTCAGAAACTTCATTTTCTTGCTTTCAGCTAGTGTCTTTATCAAGATGAAGAAACCAAATGCTGCAATTCGTGATGCTGATACTGCTTTGCAGGTTTTGTTCTTGGTTCTTGCCATGCCATAACTTATTGCATGGAAAGCATGGAAGTTTTGCTTTATTTGCTGCTACTGAAATTTTGATGAGTCTAGCTTTGTAACTCATCCTACATGACATGATGAGTAGACTCAATTTCTCAAATTTGCATTATTTGTTCCAGATTAATCCTGACTCAGCTAAAGGATACAAAATACGGGGAATGGCAAGGGCCATGTTGGGATTATGGGAGGAAGCAGCTAGTGATCTTCATGTGGCTTCAAAGTTAGATTACGATGAAGAAATTGGAATGCAACTTAAAAAAGTAAGCCACCTTCCCTGCCCTGCCCATGGGAGATGAGAGGTAGCCCAAAAAAAAACCTTTTATAATTATATATTTTAACTTTGACAGGTTGAACCTAATGCCCGCAAAATTGAGGAGCATAGGAGAAAATATGAACGCTTGCACAAGCAAAGGGATCAGAAGAGAGCTGAGCTGAAGAAGAAACAACAAGCAGAAGCTCAAGTAAGTGTAGTTTAGTGTGGAATTTCCGTCATGGAAATAAATTGTTGATAGTTAAGCTGTCGTGAGTGACATTTTAGGGATCAATTAATTAGCATCCTTTGCATAATAGTTGAATGCTTTTCTTATGTGGTTGAGGTTAATTTTTAGTTGGGCATACACCGCAGGGTTAGTCAATTCCAGTTGGATTTTAAGTAATTAGGGGGCTTGGGGCCACTGAAATTCCTCTACCTTCCTGGCAACATTAATGGGATAAGGGTAAAGAATGGGAAATAATTTTATGTGCGATGACAATGGAAAGAACTTGCAGGTCGTGTCACTCCTTCATGTTCATTTCCATTACTCCTTCATGTTCATTTCCATAACTTTGTGGTAAAGTGATCTAGTTTGATCTCTAAATCCGTTTTGACATTTCTTTTCAGGTTCAAGAATCAGTATCTGCTTTAAAAGATGGTATGCCTTTTTATCTCGTTGTGACTGATGTTATTGGTTGTCACAATTTCCAAATCAAATAGTGCATTTCTTATCTCTTGCTTAGTACTGAGAATGGGAAATATATTTTATGCGTATGTTGGAACTACCTCCCTCCCTCCCTCCCTCCCTCTCTCTCACGCGCGCACGCACATTGCATTTTACTGTCCACCTTCCTTGCAGTTTTCTATCACCCCTCATTAATTGGCATTGACAATATTTGGTACGCTTGAAAAATTAAAAGACTGGGGAAATATTGGCATTTTGGTTGTGCTTGTTTGGACATAACATGATGGATGGACATTTTGTCTTTTTTGTGGAGAATTACCTGTCATCCATGTTGATTGTAATATTTTCAACTTCTTTTCATCGAATTTTGAAAGAACTATGTTGTGATTGCTTGGCTTTTTTAATTCCTTTGTTTGTTTTGTTTTGGGTTTGTTGGGGGGGCGGTAGAGGCCATCCGTGACTATTGCTGATGTTACTTGGAAAGACAAAGGTATAGAAAAAATCATTTTAAGCACATTTGTTGGGGTGATAGCTTGTATCATATGATGCGGGAATGCTTACAACACCAAAAGGGCCTTGATTCTAACTTAGAAGTCTGAACTCAACTGGGAGAGGGAGAGCAATCTAGGTTTAGGGAACTGTAGTCTTTGGCTTCTCCTGGTCTGATTCAGTGGTTCTTGGTGGATCTAGTTGTATAGGCATGCATAAGAAATCATTGATATTGAATTGAGTGGGTTGTATTGGCATGCATATGGAATCATTGATGCTGGAAAGGAAAAATAGAAGTCTCTTCGATGTGAAAAATTTTGAACTTGGAGGATTCTGAATCCAAACTTTGACATTAATGTGTTTTACTTTTACCTATATTGTTTACCTTTGAGCTGAGGTTATCACATGATTTTCAAGATCTACGTATTCTTTCTGGTCACTACTTTGAAATTAAATCCAAATTTTGATGATGGTTGATAACTTGATGTTGAATAACTAATGATGACATGACATTAAACAGGACAAGTCATTGGTATTCATTCTGTTGGTGAACTGGACAAGTTGTTGAATGCTGCTTCAAAGACATCTCGCTTGACAGTCCTGTATTTTACTGCAACATGGTGTGGTCCCTGTCGTTTCATTGGGCCTCATTTTACAAGCTTGGCTGATAAGTACCCAAAAGTTGTATTTTTGAAGGTTGACATAGATGAGGCAACAGATGCGGCTGCACGCTGGAATATTAGCAGTGTTCCTGCCTTTTTCTTTATTAAGAATAGTAAAGAGGTTGACAGTTTGGTGGGGGCAGACAAAAGTTCACTTGAAAGGAAGGTAGCGCAACATGCAGGCTCTTCTTAAGTGAACACGTTATCAGAACACAGTTTTTTTTTTTCCTCTTGCTCTTTTCTCTGTTTATATGTCTATTTTGTCATAAATAGTCTTAGAAAACGTGGCTTGTGTTTTGTGTCTGCTGGCATGTCTGTTTGCTTGTCCAAAAGGTTCGCGTTCACTTGGAACAAATTCATACTTTCCTGCCTGTTTTGTAAGATATTTGATGACTTAAATGGGGATAGAAAAATTCAACGTGAGAATTGTATCTGGAGACAAACTTGTATCATATCTTTTTCACTAGAACACATGTGCATGCTCGAAAATGTTTGACCAACTTGGACATAAATACTTGTGCATAACAGGAAAAGGAGTTCCATGATTCATTTTCTTTCATTCTTGGAATAAAATCTCAGAACCAAATAGAACAAGAACCTGTAAAGAACACCCCAAGCAAGCAGGATAAATATGTCATACCAAATGTCGTCTTTAAGAATATCCATTGAGGATAAAACATCCTCTCCTATTAAGCAATTAGTCGAATTGTTATGGTGGGAGCTTCGCTTTACTTCTCCTAATGGCCCAGGAGACAAATCTGTCGGGTTCCCTGTGTAGCATTTGTCGTTCTTGAATTCATTTGTCAGCAGTGCCTCAAATGGGTATTTGATTGCAGAAATATAGTGAAGCCACCTCCAATATGAAGGTATCTGAGTTCGCTTGAGGAAGAATCCACAGGTTAAGAAGAAGAGAGCAGTTGTTGCTATAACTACTGCGTACCCTGTGATGTAGCTTGGAACAAGTGCACTAATAAGCATCACATAGGCATTGGTAGTGATAAGCGAGGCAAAGAGGATCATCCAGAAATGAAAGAGACTGCTTTTCAAGTGAAGGAATATTTTGGTTATGGCGGCAAATGTGAAGCCTTGGACAGCGAAAAATGGGAGATAAACAATGAGGGAAGAAATGACATACGAAGATGCGCGATAAGCATTGTGGGATGTCTCTCTAATGAAGATGAACCTTTCCAAGATGAAAGTAGGGACAGCATCATTGGAAGAGAAGAAAACTAAGCACACTGAAAAGATATAGAAGTTGAGAAGCCTACTTATGTCTTTGAAAGTGAGATGACCCAGGTTTTTGAAGATGGAGGAGAGGATTAGTGCCATTACAGCTAACACAACTTCACGGGACAGGAAGAGTTCAGGGGTTCGAATCACATTGAGTGCAGTTCTCCATGACAGCACTGCAACCTCACGCAGCCATGGGTTTGCATATTTGGATCCTAGATGTGGCTCCTCAAGAGCATCTTCAATCTCAAGCTCTTCATAAGAAGGTCCATAGGAGTCCATAGATTGGCTAACCACATTGGAGCTCTTCGCTCGATAAGAGTCCTGATATGATGCAGAATGTTGGATGGAAATGACATTTCTTGGCCATGGATTAGGTGTTTTGGCAGGCATCCATCCTGGAGTTCTCACCGGAGTCCATGATGGAGTTCTCGCCGGAGTCCATGAAATTGGGCGTTTAGGAGTTCCTACCATACCATGGTAAAGCCAGACAGAGAAATCCTTGGCTGAGAACTCTTGGTAGAACTGAGAAGCCAAACGTGGGACGCCAGCATTGGACTTGCTCCTTGGCGTCTGAGCACTTTTCCTCTCAAGCGAGTAATCAAAACTATCATCATCATCATCATCATCAACAACATCACCAACTTGGGTGGAATCAGGCTTTGATGTTCCAGGAGTGAATCCTTGTGACAGCAAGTTAATAATATATTTAGATGCAGGGGTGGTACTTCTGTGAGGTGTTCTTGGAGTCTTTGGTGTTTTAGGGACTGGCGTTATGTCTGCTTGATCAGGCTTTTGGCCATAGCATTGGTACTGAACAAGGGGGTCTAGACCAATCGTTGATTCATCATATTCTTTAATAACATCTAACATGTACTCAATACTATTTTCTCCATCTGGTATTGTTCTTCCAAAGCCAGAAAGATAAGCTGGAAGTGCATCGGGCCTTCCCATGTATACCAATCTTCCCCTGTAACACCATTTGATACATTAGCCAGTCTATTGAGCAAATTTAGAGATTATACTGAGTTTTACAATTTTTCACCTTGCAAGGATAGTGATCTGGTCCAGGAGCTTCTGAATTCTGAACGAAGGCTGATGTATGGTCATGAGGACAATACTGCCACCTTGAGCTATGTGTTTAATCTTTTCCACTACATTGTAAGCACTTGTAGAATCGAGGCCTGATGTTGGTTCGTCAAGAAACAAAAGTGCTGGCTTATGAATGATGTCTATGCCGATAGATACTCTTCGTCTTTCCCCTCCTGAGACTCCTCTTGTCCCTTCATCACCAATGTATGTATGTGCTGCACTCTGAACAACTATCCATTCGTTGAACCATAGTGTGTGCGCTTTTCGGTTAACAAAGAACAAATACATCTTGATATCTTGCTACTTAAATCCAAAACAAGTGTCCTTTGAACCAAAGTTCTAAGTATTTTTGTGAGATTTAGATGGGTTGGTGACTTGGATTCTTTGCAGTGCCAAAATCTGTCAAGTGCTTATAAGGTTAAAATATATATTATTTTTATCTATTACTTATAAGTTGTTGACCAGGGCCATTTTGCTTAACAATATATCCGAATATTTGCTAGTTGATAGAGTATAATGGCGTTATGCAATTCATGTAGCTGACTTTATTTAGTACGATAACACTTCTTGTCGATGTATTTTATTTACAAGTAATTCATTTCTTTCTGATAAATTGCACTCGCCCTTTATGATTTTTGGCACAAGATATTTAAATCTGAGTATTTTTTGGTAATATTTAAATCTGAGTTAATAGGTGGACGACATGGTAGGCCTAGTTTTGGATCTATTTGGTTTGGTGGGTTTTGATTGAAGCTCATCTAGTCAAGGGGGCTTGGTCCTGTCTAGCCCAACAACTAATCTAAAAAGCTTGAACATGTTTTACCTGCAAGCCGAGCTGATTAAGGAGCTCATAAACTCTGTTCTTTTTATCCTCCGTGGAGAGTATAGGAGGAAGCCTAACCTCTGCTGCAAACATTAATGTCTCAAAAACTGTCAACATAGGAAAAAGCTGGCCATCTTGCATCACATATGATGATACCATCTTCATGTAACTTGCGGTCACCTGCATGATTAGAACATTCATCAATCATTACTCTCTACCAAAGAAACAAAAAGAATCAAGCTTGAATGAATATTCCAGCACAAATAAAACATAAAAAACAGTATCAAGTTCATTTTGTTAATGAATTACTGGTTTCCTATCCATTCTAACTGATCCTTCAAGACTCCCTTGTGCGATCCGACCAGCCAAGGCATCAAGGAATGTCGATTTGCCGGCCCCACTTGGTCCAATGATTGCCATGATTTCGCCTCGATTTGCCTGCCCTGATATGTCATGAAGTATATAAGCTTCTTTCTTGATCCAAACCCCATTCTTCTTCTGCTTCTTCTGAACCCTGTATGATATTCTTTGGAATTCTAGACCATATTCAGGAATGGACCTCAGGGGTCTCAGTTGCTTCACAATGCTTTTTGTAGTTCTTGTTTTGTCCAAGTCTAGTAAGTTCTCCAAGCTGCTTTTACCTGTCTCTGACTTGTCTTGCCTTGCCATTGCAGTGGTTATTGTTATTCTTAGAAAAAACTTTTCTGGCTTCCCAGCTTCTGCAATTTAGCAGGTTTTATTTAAAAGGTGATCCATGTTCAGACAGAATGTGCAGTGAAAACAAAAACTGACGGTTAAAATGAAAACAATCTTAGACATCATCAGCCGGCAAACATATGTTCTCTTCCTCTTTAGTTTTGTTCTATCTACGTTGGTGGTGCCGAAGCTAGGCTATTATAACGTTATTGTTTTGTTTCATCGTGCATATTCCAGGCACAAATCCACATAGAAAAGCACAACAAATATTCCCATAACGACTAGTTTAATTTGTTTCATACTGTTAAACGCAGCTCTTAAGAATCTTGAAGATGTAGCAATTACAGCTGACGTGTTTGGTGAGTTATTTCAGATAGGAGGGTCATGCATGGAACTTTTGAACAGGTTGCACCAAATGAACTGTGAAGTTTGGGGGAAAGTCAAGGATCAGCATTGGCTCGATCATATGCTTGTCTTGTCATTGTCCCTCACGTTGGTTCTCTTGCACGATGTTGTTGTCTGATTACAGGCCAGCTTTCTCGATCTGAATGTATTTTATTTAGTTATAACATAAACGAAAATATCGTGCATAGAGTAGAAAGAAAAATATTGATAGAATAATTCGTTTGTGTCTTGAGTCATTATTTTTCTTTAAATTGTAGTCTCTATAATCGTTGTCTTTCTTATTTTGGTCATCGACATTAGCATAGGTTATGACACCTGCTATCTAAATGCTGGGCAAGCAGCTAGCAAAGGTTGGTAAACCAACTACAAGGCTCTTGGTTTGGTTGGAGAAAAATAAGGAAGGAAAGTAGGGAGGAAAGAATATAAGGAGGAGAAACTATCAATAATAATAATAATAATAATAATAATGTTTTCTAAAATCACCATTTGATTAATAATAATAAATTATTATGTTTTAGAGTTTTCCTCCTAATATTATCTTATCCTTAAAGTTCTCCAAATCCAAGCCAAGAGTGAAGGTGGCAAAGATTGTTACATACTTTTAAAGGTACCAAATACTCCCTTAGTCTTTTTTTAAGCACCTATAAACTGCTTTCTATGATTAAGAAAATTAAGGGATAGTACGAATTTTAGCCCCTCAAGTTTGTTTTGGTTCCTCAAGTTTAAGTTTTTTATCAATTTAGCCTTTTAAATTTACTTTTATTATTACTTTGATTTTTATTGTTTAAAGATGATGTTAAAATTTGTTGGCATGGATAATAGAATATTCATGGCATCTATATATATATAAAAATAAAAAGAAGTATAATTATTATTTACGTAGAAGAAAAACAACTCAAAATTTGAGAGAGAGAGAGAGCAAAACACATTGTAAGAGATTATACTAATTTGGAGGTAATTTATTCTTATTTAACTATGTATGTGTATTAAGTCATCAATATACTTTATTCACATGATAATTTAGGAAAATATAAAAGACTAAATCAATAAAAATTAAACTTAATAAACTAAATCCATAATCAAGATAAATTTGAGGGATTAAAAATTTTATTATTTTAAAAATTAATTAAAATTAGTTATATAATTAAAATTTTTTACCGTTTTTAAAATCACCAATTTGATTAATAGAACTCATAGAGAATAAAGAAAGTATAACAACTATTATAAAGAGACAAGATATTTTTAGATATTAGTTGTAAATGTAAAATTATAGATAGAGTCTTATAAATAGGACTAGGGAGCCATATTGTAATAAATAATCTCTTTAGTGAAAATTTGAAAATAGTTCTAATGTTAAGAGATCATTTAAAAGATAATTATATTTTAAATAAAGCGAGAGAATAATGCATCTTTAAAAAATCTCAAAAAGAAGTAAAGAAAAACTTGCTCAAGCTGGAAAACCACAGACCAGTTATTTCAGAGAAAAGGAGGAAAGTTAAAATGGGAAAATCCTTACTAGAGACACACGTGCACTCCATTGCATTACCTTCTCATCATGGCCTGATAATGGTTCTCAACGACATACTTAATATTTTTAACTGCCACTTAAAATTTTGAAGTATTTATATATATATATATATATGGAGCAAAACTAAACCTAAATTATATCCATATATATTATATATAATATTGGTGAAGTGCATATTATTTTTAAAAAGAAGATGGGAGGTGTTGGAAATGCCTAAGGCAGGAATATGAATTGGATATCAGGACGGCACTCATAGAGAGATCAGTTCACTGGTGTCTGATATGTATATCATCCATAGCTTCTTGCTTTAAAATCGATAGAAATTGCTATATATTTATTCTGTTGGCTGTAGCAATGATTGGTTCATAGTTGATACTTGTGTACTATCTGCTCTGATGGTTAAACCAGGCACATTATATTTTCCCTCTTGTTTAAGTGGCCAGGCTCATCTAATTATTAGTTTCTGGAAAACAGAGACAAGGAAAGGTGTCTAAATATATACATATACATATATATATATATAACTCTTGGTGGCAAATAATTAAGTTAATTGTATGCTTGAATTAATGAGGATTTGGATTTTTTAAATTTGAGCCAAATATTTTATTTAAATACCAAACAATTCATGATAAATTTGGATTTACTTCAAATCCATTTCTTATTATAATTCATTTGTACTTCTAAATTTTATCTATATTCCAATTCCAATCATTTCAAATCTCTAATTTTTTTAAGTCTTTACTATTAATGTTTATGTGATTTTGATATTTGGTTCTTATTTGTATCATTGTTGGAAACATAAAGGTAAACTTATTATTTTCAATTTTTCATTTTTATTTCAAATGTCAACTTATCTCTTTTCTTCATTTAAAATTTTTTAACTTATCCAAACAAAGTATTTTAATTACATGAATTTTAAATATGAAATTTGAAATGCAAGATTTTAAATTTTAAATTTAAATTTAAATTCATAAATCCAAAAGCTATCTTAAATTAAGTTGTCATTATATGGGGATGACGTTTTTTGACTTCTCCCTATTTGGTTGTAAAAAAATTTTAGACTCTTAAGACTATAAGAAGCCAAATATATATACACATCAAGAAGTGAACTCTTCTGTGTACGATCTTTTTTAAACAGTTAGTCTGTCTAACTCCTATGAGTTAAATGGTTCAAGTCAAAAGAACTCATTTTTATTTACTTTTACTTTTTTCTAAACTTATCCCACTTGAGAAAATGTTTTTTTTTTGAGATATTCTATTTAATTCAACCCATATTCCGGGTTCCAGCCTTGTTTTATTAAAAAAAAATGTCGTAAGATTAATCATGTTGTTCATAAATTGAGAGAATTATATATATATATATATATATATATAACATTAATATTTTCATGAATCATGATGGTTTAAACACTTACGAAAGACATTCCTAACTATTCAGAGGAATCGTCACCTTTGTAGCGCAGTTTTTAACTCTCTCTTTTTTTTTAAATAAAATTTAGACCTTGTGATTTTTAATTTTAATATATCTAATTTAAGATAAATAAAGTATAACACATATATAATTATAGCAATGAATATTTTTGGGGTCAATCCACACCACTGATCTGTATAAAAAGGCACGTACGATATTGGGTCCAAGCATAAGTAGAGAGAATCTGCACGCAGGAAAAAATGTGGTGTGCTGGTGGTGGAGGGAGGCTCCAAGTCTTGCTTTTCCAAACGACCTTTCTAAAAATAGAAACTTGTCTCTAATCAAATACCATTCCTCCTCCACATTCCCAAACCAGAGGAGTACGGAGAGAGGAAGAACAAACTACCATTTCGTTCCTCTCTTCTCCATCTTCTTCATTACCATCATCATGGCTGCTTCCTCCAATTATTTTCCCATCTTCCTCCTCCTCCTCGCCGCCTTCTCCGTCTCCTCCCTCGTTTTGGCTGATCCGGATCTCGGCGGACTCCTCAACAGCCTCTCTCAAGGATCTGTGGCTTCTCTTCATGAATCCATGCAGTGCATGCAGAAACTGCTTCCCTGCAAAACCTACCTCAACGTCTCCGCCACCGAACCGCCCCCGGACACCTGCTGCTCCGCCTTGCAGGAGACCGTCACCGACGACTTCGAGTGCCTCTGCCGCTTCTATAACGATCCTCAGATCCTTCCTACCTTGAACATCACAAGGCATGATGCTCTCCAGCTTCCCAAGGCCTGTAATGTCCGTCTTCGCCTTTCCAAATGCAAACATGGTGCGATCATCTTCCTTTTGTTTCTCTTTATATATATATATATATATATCTAATATCAATAATGTTGTTTGATAACATATTATATGTAGGGAGAGAATTCAATTTTCAAGAATTAAAACAAACATATATGCAAAATTTTAGAAATGCGGTTGTGTTGTACATACATGTGCTATTGTTTATAGGTTTTTCATTCACAGAATTTGCTTTTAATTTTTATGGCTATTTGCATATGTTTTTTTTTTCCTTATCTTTTAATTGACAACAAGAGGTAATAGGAGAACTGGAGAAAGGTATCCTGGAAATGGATCGAGCGGATTATGCTTTTTATCAATGCAGAAGCTTTTTTTTTTTAAGAAAAAATTAACATTGAAATTTGAAGTTGTTGATGCTCTTGTACTGAATCTATGCCTTTGTGTTCATTTTACCTTATAATTAATATATCAAATTAACTTAACATTATCCTGAAGAAGCTAACTTTGTCAATTACATCAATGGAAATCGATGGATCATAAATAGTACGCTATGAATGGTATAATTGTATTTCATAGAATGCTAGGAATGAATCGTACATATTATTTGAATCTCGGTGAATTTAGATTTTGAATTTAAAATTTCATATAATTTAAAATTCATATATTTAGAATTATTTATTTAGGTAATTCATCATTTTAAATAAGAAAAAACATAACTTTGAGTCTATATACTTTATTCGAGTTTTATTGTAGGTTTTTACACTCTTTTTTTATATTCCAGGTCTTTATATTTTTATTTTTTAGTGTTTTAAATTCTTATAACATCACTTATAGAGAAATCTAGAACACCAAAAAACAAACTGTAAAAACTTAAAAATTTTTAAAAAAAATGTAGGGGCCCAAACTTATGTTTTTCCTTTAAACAGTTAGAGTGTATGGAGACTTAAAATTATGAAGGAAAATTATAATAAAATATGGATTTGGATCCAAATGATGTATGGTTCAAACGCATGATGAATAAATTAAGAATAATCTTCCATTGCAGAAGCAAGTTCTCCAAGTCCAAATCCATCAACTCCTATTCCAATTGATAAGGCTACAACAGATGCAGCAGCTGCAGCACTTGTAGCAGCAGAGAAGTCCAGTAAGACAGCTTTTTCTTCTTTTTCTCTCTTACAATTTACATGATATATATTTTCTGTTATACATATATATATGAATTACAATGTGCACACTTTGAGCTTGCCTCTTTTTGTCTGTGTGATTGAAGTGTCAGGTGCTAATGCCAGCAAAGACGAGCTTGCCACTTCTAGTGGCACAAGAAGTTCAACCAAAACAACCACTTGTTTCAGTGTTCTTCTTGCAGTCTTCGCTTCATTATTCATGAACTTTCTCCTTTTTTCTGCATAAAATTTTACCATTGGATCAAAATCTGTTTGAGATCCGGCTTTGCTTCACAAATTCATGTTACTCTGATTGTGTATATACTACATGAGGATTATCTGACAATAATAAAAACTTTTATATATCTCGACACATTAACACACTTGCACACCGTCATTGTTTTAAGTCTCTTATTTCGCTCCTGCTTCCATGCAAATAGCAAGCTATTGATTGCTATATTTATTATTATAATAATGCATCACAATTTATAAGAATGTCCTATCTTTTTGAGAAGTTTAGCTTGATAAAAAACTGCATGTTTCTTTGTCTTTAATAAATTAAATACTCGGAAGAGCAAAGGGAAGTCTCTTTGCTTACTTGAAAAGGACTTTTTGCTTGCAGTTTTCAATGGGTTTGGTTACATCTTGAGGCAAGATCGTAGCATATAAAAACATGTATTGGTCAAAATGTTTTTTATTTTAAAAAGTCACGCGTGAAGACAAAACATTCCACTAGCACCTTAAATCTGAATCTTGTTGACTTTTAAAATGTAATTTTGATGCGTTGTTAAAAACAGGCATGTAAAGACGTAGTGTCAGATGCACATATGTGGTGTGGCGAGTTACACAGAAATATATAGCATTGCCGAGTTCACGCTTCTCGTCCCACATCGGCTAATAAAAAGGGCGAGAGTTACGAGACTGCGTATAAAAGGAATACTTGTGAAGCGTTGAAACTCATCTTTGCGCTTGGGGCAATGACGCAGCTAGTGAGGTTCTAACCGAGGCGCGTCTATTGCTGGTTGAAAACTATTTCCAAACCCCCTCTTGGGCCTGGGTTTGGCCCAGGCTCTTGAGAATTTCTGGAAGGGCTCCCTCCGGGGTAAAGCCCTACAATAATCAGTCTAAGCTTTATGATGGGTTCCACCAGTTTAGTGTTTTCTTCGTTAAAATAGTAACATATATGTGTTGCCCGACTGGAGTATGTTGTTTTATTTCTCTTCCTGAGTAAATGTTTTTGCTCTTCGGTAGGATCCACAAGCCTTTTTGAGAGTTCTCGGTTTTCTCCAATGAAATCAAAAAACTGACATTTGACATTTTATAATTACTACAAAATTTTTCAAAATTATTATTATAATATTATATAAAAAATAAATAAATTTAAAATTTGACTTGTACTGTTTATAATCGGTAAGAATCAAGTTTTAATAGTTTAAATTATTTATTTATTTCTTATGTAATATTATGATAATTGTTTTATAAACTAATTAAATCTCAACCATGATGAGGAGAAGAAAATGAGAGAGCAATCAAGAAGCTAAAAAGGAGAAGGATGAGAAGGGGTTGAATTTCCACGGCTAAAGGAGTAAAAATTAAACAACTATATTTTCAAATTCTGAGCATTTTAATTTAGTTTTGATATCACTGTTGGAAATAAAAAACAATAGTCCAGAAACGAGGAGAAAACAAATGGACATAAGTGTGTTATTGTTGTGCAAGTGCCGGAAAATGGTGCTGCCCGAAAGGAAAGAGCCATGCGGAAATTGTGATACATTCCCTGAGTAGAAACAAATCATTGTAGAAGATTATTTCGAGATACAAGGATCTCTTTCCGTCTGCAATGACAGTTTCTGTTTTTCTTACCATTGGGGTTGTGATCTATCTCGGCTTCTTCGATGGTCAAGACCACTACTCTGTAAGGTTTTTAGAATTCATTTTTTTCCGCCATTCATCGTCTATTGATCAGGATGATTTTTTTTTTTTTTTGCTGTTCTTCCATTATTTCATTGGTTTTTTGTGTTCTAAAAGTTTCTTTTTCTTTATGAACAATTTCAGCAATAAAATTTTGTGAAATGTTGTTTTCACTTTATCTTGACTCATAATGAAAAGGAGACGAGAAAGGGGCTGAAATAATTGGAAGGAATATTATGAATTCTAATCAATTAAAGTTATCTTTTTTATAGTTAAATTAAAGAAAACGTCCATTTTTTTAAAAAAAATAAGGCTTAATATGTAATTTTTAACAAATTTTGCTCTCTCCCTCTCTCTCTCCCCCATATTTTCCTTTGAGAAAAATTGCACATTATACCTCATTTTTTTTTAAAAAGTGCACTAATTTTAATTATTTAAGATTCAGAATGAACTAAATAAGAGTTTAGAGTTTAAATTACCCTTAAATCTAGTTTAGAATTCAAATTGCATGTTAACCCTTTCATATTTTGATAATGTTGATTAATTTTTTTACTTTTAATATTGTCAAAAATTTCTTTCTTTGTAAATAACCGAACAACCATTCAACAATTCATTTTCTATACGATTTCACTTCTAATTTTTAATTATATTCATGATTGGAAAAGCTCTTTCAACTATTATAGTTGCAACTAATAATATTAAAGCTAATTCTAAAAGCATACACACCAATGGATATACAATATATTTTCTGGAATCCGTAAGTTTCATAGTAAGTTTTAGGTTCATCTTACTGGATTGTGATTATGCGAAGAGCTATTTAGGGATTTTGTTTTTCTCACCTGTTGAATTGAAGGGAAGGGTGAAGAGAGGGAAAAAACAAAAGCTTGATACCATTAAGCATATTAAAAAAATACATTAATTATATCTTAAAATATTAAAAATAATTTAGGGGTTATTTGAAACTTTTTTATTTTATTATTATGAGAACTGATATTTTATAAAACATGTTTTAAAAATAAAAATAATAAAAATAAGTATTTTTTTTTCATTTTTCCTTATCCTCCAGAATAATAATTTGAAAACACCTAAAAGTTATTTTTATTTTTCTGTTTTCTAGAATAACCTTTTATTTTTTTTGTTCTTCAAAATACTTTTTAAAAATATGTTACTAGATAGATTTTTTTTATTTTCTTGTTTTGTAAAATAAAAAAACTATTTTCAAAACAGATTTTCAAACAAACCCTTATATTTTTATATATTTAACTCCTTAAAAATATCTTAATTTTTAATGGAGAGAGTAATATATAGAATTTGCCTACGTATATGCATTTCTCTGAGTTTCATACAAGTTGTGTTATTTAATTTTGAATTTTAAATTGTTCACCTATAAAAATTATAAAAAATGATATTACTCATTTAAAAATTTGTGCAATGCACTGTATTATACTATAACATGCATAATAACTAATTAAGTTTTTATATTATACCGGCAAAGACGCAATTATAATCTTCCAACTTTATATTAGGTTTAAGTTTAAGAGATCAAATATATGTTATTGTTTATTATATCAAATATATTTATACATGCAAATATATGTGTGTGTAAAAATAACAACATATATAAATTGTTTAGAGCATACAGTATTTCAAGGCAAACCATCTTTCAAGCGCATCAACAATCCCGAACTAATCCACACACCACCTGGTACTCCAATTAAGGACAAAGTGGTTGGCTACGGATGCTTTTTCATACATAAAAGAGGAATCAAATCCTTATGTAAGAACCCGTCTTCCTTACAACAACAAATATATATATATATATAGCTCTCAGGGAGCCATTTCAATCTTTATTTTGATTTTTTTTTTTTGGGAACAAGTTATTTTTCGGTAAACCCTCCGCGGCGGAATCATAAGCCCGCTTTGCATCGAAACGGCGGGAAATTCCTTACAGATGATTCAGTCAAGATGGCGTTAGCCTCCACTGTCAAATCGCTAGCTAAGCTTCGACGCGGTGGCGCCGGCGGGACATTTTCTCGCTTTCTCGCTGCTAAGTGGTTCCCCCCACATTCACCCCCGATTTCGTCCTCCTCCTCTTCTTTCTGTTCCGCCGCTCCTGTTTCCCCTTCATCTGGTTTTCAACCATCGCCTTCCCCTTCTTCTGAAATACCAGGTATGGGTGCGTGTTCATCCGAATAATCCTTTCCATGGGCTTAATATTGCATTTTGCTATGCTGAAGTTGTCTGCTTGCAGAGCGTGAGCGTGTCAGAATTTTAAATTGCTTTACTTATTGGTCCTTCTATTTGTGAAAGGAAAATCCTCTAGGTTGTCAAAATGGTTTCTATTCCTACCTGGAGCAATCACATTTGGTCTAGGAACTTGGCAGATTTTCAGGAGAGAAGAGAAGGTGCCGACTTATTAAACTCATAATCCTTTCTCTATCATGAACACTTGAAGTTCACTTAATTGTTTACTCATTTTATCGCCGGCAACGTCGTAGAAGTAAATCTTGATATGGTGTACCTCGGCATTGAATTCATGATTTTTCTAGAGTCACTTTTCAATCAACAGTCGTTAAGGCTTAAGTGAATGTCTTGTTGATATTACAAGCTTGTGAAATGTTTAGAAGGAAGATAGAGATGTAGAAAACAGGTGGAGTGGGTAGAAGAAGAGTAAGTGGACTTCGTACATATTCCTACTCCTTGTATCAAACATTCTCTCACCCCAGTAAGTCCTTTAATTTTAAAGGATCCAAATTTGAACCAAGACAAGCTTTGTAATATTCATTGAGATAAGCTTGTGACTTAAGCATGGTGGAGATAAAGATATGCTAAACAACTCGATCAACAAAACTTGATGACCTTAAATTTGCTGTTCTTTTCTATAATTAAGAGTTTGGGATTTCTGTCAATCTCAAAAGTTTATTCCAGCTGTTGTAGCTGACATTTTGTATTAATCATTATTGATTGTCTTTTGGTACAAATTTTGGACATATCTATTTATTGATTTATTCCATCTCTGCCTTTAATTCAAGCACTATAATTTGTAATTTCATCAGCACACACATCAAGAATATTTTATCCTTATAAATTGTCCATTTTAACGTGTCTGTGTCAATAACTCAATGACACATTTATTCTGGTTCAAAGGGATCCGTAGGCTAATGTTTTGGATTATGCCTTTTTCAGTTCAAATGTCTTAAAGGAATCCATTAAAAAAATTATATTTTCAAATACATGGCAAATTATATTTTTAAATATTACATATGGGCGAGATGATTACCTTGCGCTTTTGAATGTATGTTCAAACTTTTGAAGTTTACTTTTCATGAAGTTATAAGATTCCAGATTCCATGTCTTAGTATTGGCCAAGAGGATTAACACTGAAAATGCCTTCCATCAATCGTTGATGATAGATAAAAATGCTGGATTATCGAGAGAAGAGATTGCAGATGGAGCCTTTAAAATTCACCAGTGCATCTCCATTGATGGAAGAATTAGATTCTCTAGAATTCAGGAAGGTGGTGTGCAAAGGAGTTTTTGATGAGAAAAAGTCAATCTACGTGGGTCCACGTTCAAGAAGCATTTCAGGAGTGACTGAAAACGGCTACTATCTTTTAACACCTCTTATGCCTGTTCCCAACTGTCCAGACAGGTAAGTCTTTTGTATTATATATGTAAAAGGTTGTTTGTTATGTAGAGTAGACTGGAATGAAAAGGAAAATTAAATAAAGCTATGGTTTTATAGATGAGAAATATCTTTTATACCTCTGAATAAAAAACGTAATAAAAAAGAAAGGGGTTACTAAATCTTTACAAAATTGATCAACATTGATTATGGAAGCGTTCACTTACTTAACATGTAGCCGTACTTTTAAGTTAAAATAAAATGCAACTGATTCTGCTTATGGATTAGCATAAAAATAACTTAATGAATGGACAGTTTTAGGAAATTAGTATTATTGAACATGGGATTTGGATTGCTATGCCTTTATAATCATATCATCATCTATGGAGAATTCTCATGTGAAAAATATTTTTAACACTACAATTTTGGCTGTTCATATGAGAAGTTCCATAACTAGCGTTTCTTTAGACTGCAATATTTTGAAAGTGTGTGGGGAGCAAATTACAATTATCCTGAATAGCCTTTAAGCTCTTGCTTCTAATGGAAGTTTATTCAAATAATTACATTAATCGTATTGTCCTCATTTCATCTACAAGAAACATCCATGGAAACCCACTGCCCTGGGTCAAATGTTTTCAAACTTTAGAGGGCTTGAACTGTAATTGACCCATGCACAATAGGTGATGAGGCTTTATATGTCTATTGTCGTTCCATTGACAACCTATCCATATTAAATTTTCTTATCTTGGCGAAGAAGAATTGATCATTTCTTTGGCTTGCTGCATGCCATATACATCGTTGTGGTTGTTGCATAATCTGCCTGATTTTTATCTTTTCTAAATTGTTTAATTTTCTTTCAGTGTGAGTTTTCCTGTTATAGTCAACAGAGGGTGGGTTCCTCGCAGTTGGAGAGATAAGTTCGTTGAAGCTTCTCAAGATAGTAAACAGTCTGAAGAAGCGCTTACCTCCCCATCAGGGGCTGCTGGAACAAAATCCTGGTGGAGATTTTGGTCTAAAAAACCTGATATCACTGAGGTGGTGTCATCTCTCTGGATCTAGGTTATCTTTTGTTACACGACAGCATCTTAGGAATGAGAAAAACATATTTTTAAATTAAACTATAGATGCTTTGCTTTATATCATACATGAATGTCCCGTCGCATGATGGGACTTGAATTCCTGCACGCCATGTATTGTTTGCTACAGATGATTATAAATTCAAACTAAATTTGGTGCAACATACAGGATCATTTCCCATCTGTCACACCTGTAGAAGTTGTTGGAGTAGTTCGTGAAAGTGAGAAACCAAGTATTTTTGTTCCAGCAAATGATCCCAAGTCTTCCCAATGGTTCTATGTTGATGTTCCAGGCATTGCCAATGCTTGTGGACTCCCAGAAAACACTATCTATATTGAAGATATTAATGAAAATGTCAATCCAAGTAATCCTTACCCTGTCCCAAAGGATGTCAATACCTTGATTCGAAGTTCAGTCATGCCTAGAGACCACCTCAATTATACAATGACATGGTATGCAGCATTCCTCCTTTTGTTTTGCAAAGGGATGCAGTCATTGTGTTTAATTAGAGTTTATTACTTTGATGATATTGAAGTTAGCCATTGTTGCATTGTTGATACCTATCTTTGTTTTACTCAAGCTGATGCTTGCTTTTGGGAGTAGACAAATATCGTCCGCCATGTTAGTAATGGTTTTTATAATTTTGGCACACAAGATCATAGGCTATGTAATATTAATGAATTGATAATGACAATGATACTCATTATATAATTGAAAGATCAAGCTTTATGGTTTTTCAGTGGCGATTAGTCTTGCAGTTTATTATAGATCAAGAATCGAAAGATCACATTTAATACGGAAATGGATTTTTTACATTTTCTTCTGGTAATGCATCCTTGTTCGGACTTATAGATCCACTGTACCTTCTAATCAAGTTTTTTGGAACAGGTATTCTCTTTCTGCAGCTGTTACATTTATGGCTTTCAAAAGACTAAGGCAGAAAAATAAGCGGAGATAGCATGATCGTGACCATAACTTCTTCCCGTGATCTGGCATGGCATCTCCATTGATTGATGTTTTAACCTTTTAGGTCAGATCTCAAGTGAACAGAATTTATTTCCAAGGAAGTTCCATCCAAGTGATATCTTCTGCGCCTAGAGTATGGCTCTCACCCTGAAAAGCTGATGATAAGATCATAACGTTTGAACCGTTATGTTTTGCTTTACGATATTAGGTGGATGGTGATTAGATATTCAGTGGCAAGAAAGCTCAGTTTTCGATCTGAAAATAAACTAATATTGCTTGTTTCAAGAGAATAAAGTATTACAATTGGGAGGCAGCTGAGGAATGAGTAGTTGAAACAGTCCCAATCTAACTACTTCATGTTCAATCTCTTCTAATAAGCTTTACTCACTTAGCTTTTAATGAGTGTCTCCATCTCCAGGGTTTGGCAATGGTTCATTTTTCATTCTCCTTGATAGCTGAATTCAGTGATCTGTATGTGCTGTGATTACATGATTCTGCTTGTCTCCTCCATAATTGGAGATCACAAACTTGTTGACTTAATTCTATACTGTAGATCGTCGTTGTTCCGTTATCCTTGTTCAGCGTATTATCACAAGGAAATAATGTACATTTAACTTAAAAAGTGACATGTTTCCGTCCATTTTAATCCCCCCATGGAACTTGCACATTCTTGTAAGAAGACAAGTTAGGTTCCACTACCCCTAGACCACGCTTGGGCTAGTGTGACCTGATATTCTCTTCCATTTAATGGAAGGGGGAAAAAATAGGGAAAATGGCAATGAGCCCGAGAGAAAAAATAACTTTAAGGTCAAAAACATGTACAAAAATAGATTTATCAACTCACTTGTGCATTAAAGAATTTTTAGTTGTTACTGGATTTTCATGGTTAATTTTTCTCCTTTGGAGGCTCTCACTGTCATTCTCCAAAGAGAGGTGAAATGATTATGATTTTGGCCAGATTCCTTGACAGATAATTACTTCTACGCCAACTTTCTGGCGATTGCATCCGTTAGGAACAATGTAAGTGATAAATGTAGGATTATGTAGAAAGTAACAATTAAGAGTTCAATTTCATAAAAGCAGGCAAGGCCAAAAAATCTTGCGCCTTCATGCCCCGTAGCCTATTTTTGGAAGTTCGCAGGAGTGCTTCTCCATGTCAAGAAAAGATCCTGATGTGTCCAAGGAATTCACAGTAATAGTAGTGTTTAAAGGAAATACATGGGGCAACATAATCTAATTTTTGGTAAGCAGAATGCTATATAGAAAGGAAATGAAAAATACACCCATACCATTTTTTTTTAAATAATTTCTCATTTTCTTTCTAGAAAACACTTTTTCTTGCACTATACAATGTCTAAGCAATGGCCAATTTCCAATCCATATCTAGCCTCAAACTAACGTACAGTAGCTATGATATTGAGAATATTATACAAATTCTAGTCATTAAACATGATATCGGATGCCAAAATAATCTATCAAAATATTCACGACAGGAAAAAGAGGAGAGATTTCATCCAAGAGTTCTATTAAAATATTCTCTAGCTAGTCCTTTTACTTCTTGGCTTCATGAATTTCTTACCTAGGAATCGATGTGCCCCAAAAAATTCATAAAGTAGATATTGACAGGAGTGAAAGCAAGAAAGACACAGGCGAAACTCGAGATGAAACAACTGTAACATTCCACAAAGATTGCAATTTTTTCTCTTCGATAATTTGACCAACAGGGGAGAGGGGAAGAGGTTAATTTTGCTAGTTGTACTGTACAACTCTGCACACTGAAAGAATCACAACTGCGCAGAAACAAATCAAAGAATAGAAGGAAAGAGGAAGCTATGATCAACTTAACACACCAAGCAACCAACCAACCAAACTACTCACTTTCTAAGAGAAAAGAATAAGAAAACCGAAATCAAAAGAATGAAATGAATATATGAAGCGACAAAAAGCCAAAAAGGTTTTATGATATACATCTTACTACCAAAGAAGAGCCCATTTTTCCTCTCTGGATTGCCTTCAACAGCAACAAAAACTTCAACAGATTATCTCTAGAAAACCACTGAAGCTTCAATTTAGTAGATCCTGAAACCTGATTTCCGTTATTTACAGCATGAAGGTTAGCGGGTGTAGATTGGAGGAATTCTGACATAAGACGTTCCAGAACTAATGTCATACAGAAGCGCTCTTTAACATCAATAACCTGCAAGGAGTCAACATTAAATCATAAATTCCTAGAAAAAAAATGATAAAAGAATAAGAAACAACAATTTTGCACTGTTTGGCAGGTAGAAAAATTACATATGATGGGAGCAAGGATGACATCAAGAATTCAAACCCCAATAAATGTGTGCATTTTTGTGGGTATTTACTATGTTATGGATGTGCCAAAAAAAAAAATGAAGAGCAGATGTTTAAATAAAGAGAAAACATAACCATTTGTCCCAATAGTTTTAACAAATTTTGGCATAAGTCCCTATAGTTTTCTTTCATTACTCTAGGTCCTTCTAGTTTATCCCGTTATTAAAACTATAAAGACCAATAGTTGAGTTTTCCCTTGAATAAATAAAGGATATTGTGAATTTAAAGTCAATTTCACTTCTGAAGTCTAGAAAGGCCTCCCATAATCCATAAATTACTTTTAGCAATAAGTTTTACTATTGAAGCAACTTTGTATGCCTCAAATTAAACATGCCAAACTACCAGTTTGACTAAAGAATAAGGGAGATAATTTCTTTTTTCAAAAAAAAAAAGAAAAAGAAAAGAAAATAAAAGAATGCTGACATTTACCCCACTCAGATTCAAAGCACTTATAAATGTAGCCAATACTGTTAACGAACAACTTACTGCCTCACAAATGTCAGTAATAAGGCAACAAGAATCAATTCTGAAATATGGTGACACAGATGAATCTGAGGAAAACAAGCAGAATTGCTTCACATCCTCAATGCACAAAAGCACATATGCCCCAGTCACAAACAGTGATCTCGAAAACCATGATTCCTCTGAAAGGGTAAACAAATAAAAATAGGGTCACCTACTCACCTTTATGTTTGTACATTAATAAGCATGTTTTCACATTGAATTTTTCTACTTGTAGTAAAGCCACAAGTACAAACAAATATTTTCAGTTCTTGCACCACTAAAAACATACAAAGTCTCTAATACATTTAAGAAACAATGCTTATATAGCAATTGAAGAACCATCAGTTTGCAACAACTGTGCACTCACGGTAAGTTGATTCATGCAAGGATATTAACACAAAGTTATGCTTGTTTATAACAAGAGTGAAGCATTACTCTAGCCATCTAATAACACAATCTCTTCTCAAATTGGTTGTTTGAAGTTCGAACTAACTTTTAAAAGGTTCTCTTACCAAATTTTAGAATTATAAACAAGTTATTCTTCTAGAAGTTTTGGAGTTTAAATTAATAAATAAAACCAATGTCATGACTTACACTATTAATAGCATAAAAAAGAAATCAAAACTATAACTTGAAAAGCTTGGAGAAGTGACAAGCAAACCTTTGCCGTTGTTACAACAAACAAGCACCATTGCGTACTGATAAATGCTCAAATTGGAACCACCACATACTTGGTTGTCAAAAAATTCAACCTGAACCTGCTCCAAACTGCCATTTATATTTCCAAAACCCGTCTATATCATAGCAGGAAAAAAATTGACCCAAAAAAATAAAATAAAATAAAATCTAGAGCACATTCTCCAGTATCAAATCCAAAACAATTCAATACAAATTTGTGTTTAGACAGTTATTATTCATATATTCGGAGAAAAAAATGTAGGCAAGCAATCTCAGGGTCTGCATTATACAATATAGGGAACTGGTGAAGCCCACTATGTATATCACCTTCTTATTGAACATCTATCATTTGCTCCACATGAATCAGAAACTTGCAAGGTCTTTAATAGCTCTCTTGATTTTTGTATGCTCCTTGTAATAAAAAGGTATGTTTCACCACTTTCAAAATTCACCCTGCCAAATCAGTAACATACATTTAAAAAGTTAACAAATCTATAGTTCCTTTCAATACACCATGTCACTAACCTTAACACCTGAAGTCCCATTCCAACAAGCACCTCACAAACTTCTTCTGCCTTGTGGCGACTTAATAGATTCAAATGAATTCCTGAACAGCATCAACAAAAAAATTTCAAGATCAGCTTTGTTTAACTCGCAGGGAAGGATTAAAAATGCAGTGTTTAACTGCTCAAGCATGTGAAATATGGATAAGATGTTGATTATAATAGTTTTATGAAAGGTTAGCAGATGTAGAAATGGAACTAGGGTTTTATGTTTAACTCTACCCAACTCTTCAGTGCCTCAAATAAATCTCCTCTTAAGAAATCTGAATATGCTTTTAAAGGTCCTTATTAACATTAAAATGATGATGCGAACTCTAATCCTCTAATACACTGAAAAAATGAAGTTGCTTTGCTGAGAAAAAAAGGTGTTTAGCCTAACCTGACTCGTCATCATCAGCAGTTATTAGTAGCAAATAGAGCTTCATATGGTTGCTGAGTATCACTGCAACTTCTCTACATGTGAACAAGGTAACATTACACATTCTATTGTGGGAAATAGTGCTCTCCAAAAGTGCAATCTGAAACTATTATCTCTGCAACAAGCATGAGAAGGATATTTTTTGGACAGAACAGTCTCAGAAAATATTCGTTTTGGAAACCATTCTGTTATCCACAGGGGGGTTACTAGGGGTGAATCTAACATTGTACCTTCTTCCTCCCAGGGGTTGGGGGGGATTTTCTCTCGTTTTTTTTTTTGGGGGGAAACATGGAGAATGAAGTGAATAAGCAATCTGCTTTCTCTCGTATATTGATCAGAGGAGGCCGAGTACATATATATACAGGAATAGGCGCACTAATCTCTCCGAAGAATAAGGGACCAGAATCGGTCAGCAGCTAAATAAAGTAATATCTAAATAAAGACAAATCCTACCTAATCTCCTAGGATAATGAATATTAATAGAGAATATATTCACATAATATCTAATAATTACACGGTCTGACCACACTCTCCCTCAAGTTGGAGCATAGATGTCAGTCATGTCCAACTTGCGTATACAACTATCAAATGCTGGTCCATGTAGGCCTTTGGTCAATACATCTGCAGCCTGTAGCTTTGTAGGGAGGTATATAAGACATACTATACCTTCTTCCACCTTTTCCCTTATGAAATGCCTGTCTATCTCCATGTGCTTGGATCTTTCATGCTGAACAGAATTTAAAGCCATACTTATTGTGGCCTTGTTGTCACAATAAAGTTTTGATGGTGGATCGACCTTGACATTTATCTCCTCCATTACACGTCTTATCCACAATCCTTCTGAGATGCCTTGGGAGAGAGATCTTAGTTCAGACTCAGCACTGCTTTTAGAAACTACCCTTTGCTTCTGGCTTTTCCAGGTAACAAGATTTCCCCACACAAATGAGCAATAACCTAAAGTTGATCTTTTGTCCTTATAAGTTCCTCCCCAATTTGCATCCGAGTAAACTTCTATTAATCTTTGCTCTTGTTTTTTGAAAAATAAACCTTTTCCAGGTGTACCCTTTAGATACCTTAGAATTCTGTATGCAGCATCCATGTGGCTCTTCCTTAGATCACACATGTACTGGCTAGCAACACTCACAGCAAAAGCTATATCCGGTCTAGTATGGGAAAGATAGATCAATTTTCCCACCAACCTTTGATATCTCTCCTTGTCTGCAGGTTCATCCTCCTCTTCATTCTCTTCTAATTCTTCCTTCTTTTTCCTCCTTGGACTTCTTTTTTTACCTTCTTCACTACAATTGGCGTATCTACAGGTCTGCACCCAAGCATACCTGCTTCCTTTAGTAGATCGAGGATATATTTCCTTTGAGACACATAGAGCCCCTGTTTTGACCTTGCAACTTCCATTCCCAAAAAATATTTTAAGTTGCCCAGGTCTTTTACTTCAAACTCTTTACTTAAAGCATTTTTTACTCTCCCAATCTCCTCTTCATAATCCCCTGTAATGATTATATCGTCCACATATACTATGAGAATACACCTCTTACCGTTTTTCATTCTCACAAACATGGTGTGATCTGAGAGACCTTGCTTGTACCCTTCAGCTTTCAATACTTCTGAAAATCTATCAAACCACGCACGTGGGGATTGTTTTAGGCCATAGAGTGATTTCTTTAGTTTACATACTTGATTTGTGTGCCCAGTGCCGAAACCTGGAGGTAAGCTCATATAGACTTCTTCCTTGAGATCTCCGTTCAGGAAAGCATTTTTTATGTCTAGTTGATGTAATGGCCATTCAAGATTTACCGCCACAGAGAGTAGAATTCTGATGGTATTTAGCTTAGCTACAGGAGCAAATGTCTCCTTATAGTCTAAGCCATATGTTTGTGTAAAGCCTCGTGCCACCAGTCTAGCTTTTAGCCTATCTAAGGCTCCTGTGGAATCATATTTTGGAGTAAAAACCCATTTGCACCCTACTACTCTTTTTCCCTTAGGCAACTCCACTATATCCCACGTTTCATTCTTTTCCAAAGCTTTCATCTCCTCCATAACAGCAGCTCTCCATTCCGGTATGCTCAAAGCTTCATATACATCACGAGGAATCTTCATTGTATCAAGATTAGTCACAAACACACGAAATTGAGGAGATAGAGCATGGTAACTTACAAAACTTCTAATAGGGTGCTGAGTACACGATCTCGGTTGCCTCCTAAGAGCAATAGGTAGATCTAGATCATCTATCTCCTTTTCTTCAGCAGTACCTTTCACTTCTGGTTCGTTATTCTCCATAATCTCACCTTCAGGGACCTCTTTCAGTTCTGAAATTGGTAGTGCTATTGGCATGGCAGCCTCTACATCTCGCCTCTTCTTTCTTGAGTAAGTTATGAGTTCTTTTTCCGGTGCTGTACCTGCATTACTGTTATCCTTTAAAGGACTTTTCACTTCAGTTTCTGGCCTAGAAGTCCGAATTTCAGGTGCAGGTATGTTTGAAGCAAGTGGTTCAGAACCGTTTTGAGGCTGTTCTAGCTGGTCAGGAATAGATTCTGGCGAGACAGACAGTTCTGAAAAAATATTTTCCTGGTTTTCCTGTCTTCCCAAATCCTGAAATTCACTCCCCTTCTCCCCCTGAATTGAAGAATTTGGGAAAAAAGGGACAGATTCAAAGAATGTGACATCTCGGCTGATATATAATTTCTTGGAGGAGGGATCAAAACATTTATACCCTTTTTGAGTGGAGGAATAACCAAGGAAAATACATCTGACCGCTTTAGGATCCAATTTGTGGGAATGATGAGAATGGACAAATGCTGTACAGTCAAAGATTTTAAGGGAAAGATGAGTTTCAAGATGAGTGATAGAGTGAGATTCTTTTAACTTATCAAGTGGGGTAACATGAGACAAGACACGGCTGGGCATGCGATTTATCAAGTAAGTTGCAGTGAGTATCGCATCACCCCAGAAATATTTAGGGACATTATAGGTAAACATGATGGCACGAGCAACTTCCAAAATGTGTCTGTTCTTGCGTTCAGCAATACCATTTTGTTGTGGGGTGTTGGGACATGTACTCTTATGAATAATGCCATGGTTTGTTAAGAAAATATTCATTGGCTTATTACAATATTCAATTCCATTATCTGTATGAAGTACCTGGATAGTGGTGTCAAATTGGGTTTTAATCATGGTATAAAATTTAGAGAAAATAGTGGGAACACTAGATTTATCATGTAATAAGTAAACCCAACATAATCTAGTGTGGTCGTCAATGAAGGTAACAAACCACTTGGTATGAGTACGATTAGCAACACGAGTAGGGCCCCACACATCACTATGAATAATGGAAAAAGGACGAGAAGATTTATATTCAGAAGATTTGTAACTAGATCTTTGATGTTTAGCAAGTTCACAATCAGTACACTGAAAGGAAGACAACTTATGGAATTCAGGAAATAAATGACATAAATATTGAAAATTTGGATGACCCATTCTCCTATGCCATAACATAAGATCATTAAAGTCCTTATTCTTAGAGGTAGAGGCAATATTGCACCGGATTCTAGACCAAAGATTACTCACAGTTGATTCATCGAGATAGTAGAGACCATTATGCTCTTTAGCACTGCCAATCATCTTCCCCGATAAGAGGTCCTGAAAAATACAATGGGTAGCACAGAAAGGAGCCCAACACTGAGCTTGTTTTGTCAATTTACTAATAGACAACAGGTTGCATGCTAGGTAAGGTACATGAAGTACGTCTTCTAGCTTCATAACATCAGAAATAATAACATTCCCTTTACCCGCTATAGATGAGGCAGACCCATTAGCCGTACTGACAGTTTCATGCCCAGCACAAGGTGTATAGGAACTAAATAACTTAGAATCTAATGTCATATGATCTATGGCTCCAGTATCAACAATCCACTTGAAATAACTAGCAGCAGTAAGTAGAGTACAGTTACCTTTGTGCGCTATTGATGCCATGTGACCTTGCTTCTGATTCTGCTCAGCTTTTTGAATCACATCAAGCATTTCAATCAACTTACCCAACTGCTCTTTGTTTATCAAAGGTAATGAATTTGAGTCGGTCTTCTCTTGTGAAGTGTCATGAGAAGTCTGATATCCCCGTGTCTTTCCCCTTCTAGGCTTCCAATCTGCCGGCTTCCCATGCAATTCCCAACAGGTCTCACGAGTATGCCCTTGTTTCTTACAATGTTCACACCAAGTCTTCCCTTTTTGGCTTCTATGATCTGCTCCTTTGCTAACAAGTGCAGCAGAGTCCAGAGATGGTGAAGGATTGGGAACCGTACCAGGGAGCATCACCTTACGTCGTGAAGCTTCTCGGCGTACTTCAGAGAAAACTTTTCTCGATGAAGGCAGTGGTGACTTGCTGAGAATACGTCCATGTACGTCATCTAGAGATTGATGTAACCCAGCCAAGAATTGAAAGACACGTTCATTCTCGATTTGCCCCTTATAACGAGCCACATCAGTAGCATTTGACCACTCCACCTCAGTCATTAGGTCGAGTTCTTGCCACAATGCAGTAAGCTCCAACCAGAATGCCGTAACATCTCGTTCACCTTGTTGAATAGTCCACGTCTTAGTTTTGAGTTCGTACAGTCGTGCCAAGTCTTTTCCATCTGAATAAGAGTCTCGCACAGCTACCCATATCTCATGCGCTGAAGGTAAGAACATGAAGCTCTGTTGAACTTCCGGTGTCATCACGTTAATGAGCCATGACGAGACCAGAGAATCGTTGGTACACCACCACTGCCTTTCATCGGGTTTGGTTTCATCTGGGATTCTGGACGAGCCATCCAGAAGACCCATCTTACCTCTGCCTCCAACAAGTTTCACGGCCTGTGCCCATGTGAGGTAATTGTTGCCCTTTAGCTTCATAGTCACGATTTGCATCGAAGATCCATCGTGGTTAGTAGTCAACCCAGAGGGACCACCAGCCTTGTTCGAATCATACAGCGAGGACCCATCACTCTGCGTCATCGGTGAAGACGGGCGACTGGGGTACAACTCGTCTGCTATGCTTTCTGACTTGTGCTCGGTGTCGGAAGCGTGTGGAGAAGCAGCTGGCTCTGATACCATAAAGTGAATAAGCAATCTGCTTTCTCTCGTATATTGATCAGAGGAGGCCGAGTACATATATATACAGGAATAGGAGCACTAATCTCTCCGAAGAATAAGGGACCAGAATCGGTCAGCAGCTAAATAAAGTAATATCTAAATAAAGACAAATCCTACCTAATCTCCTAGGATAATGAATATTAATAGAGAATATATTCACATAATATCTAATAATTACACGGTCTGACCACAGAGAAGACATTTTCTAAATATATAAAAACTCTTATTATACATGCATGCATCAATCTGGGCACAACACTTTCATATTATATATTCTGGTAATGAAAAACGAAAAGATAGGTAACAGATGTTTTGCCATTAATCTTACTTTACTGCTCTTACCAAGGAAACCAGGTAATTATGAATTTATATTCTTAAGAAATAAAATTTTAGGGATCAAATGCACCAAAATTGTCCCTAAACTGTGGAACACTAAACACTATTTAGAAGTTTCAAACCATTTGGGACACATTTGATTTCTAAGAACTGATTCCTGTATTGAAGAATTAATGGATTGTGCATAGGCTGGTGGAGGGGCGTGATTACTTGCCTATATGACAGTTAATAAGCTTCAAACCATCAGGGTTCCTGCTCTAAATTTGTCTCTGCTCCCAAGTGGTTGTTAAAAGTACGCCAAAAAACAAATACATGTATTTTGCTTCTGAAAATACATGATAAAATCTATGGAAGAAAATTCAAGCACATAGGAGTGCATGTATGTGTGTCAGCAGAAATGATGAGTAAGTGAATGGGCCAGAATCTTTTGCTTGGTCGATTTGGGGGGGGGTATTTTACAATTTCCTTGTCCAAAGTAGTTAAAATGAAAAATATGCCTAGTACCACCTAAACATATTCAGAAACTTCTGCAATTCTACATAGATGCCATTGAATGGGTTTTAATACAAATCATGAAAAGCTTGTTGATGTATAGGAAGTTAAGACAAGATATAGATACCGTGCATAAACAACAAACAATATAGACAAAAAAATTCTTTATATAAAAATAATATAAAATATAAAATTAAACCAAGTCACTATTCATTGGTTATAAATGATAGAGCACAATCTTCAAACTCCATTCAATGTACGAGACCCATATCTAGTTAACATAAAAATCTGACATCTATTTTAGGGTTAAATGGCAATTTGGACCTTGAACTATATATGCTAAGAGGCAATTTGAATCCTGAACTTGTATTTGATATATTTTGAATCCTAAACACTTAAACTTGGGACAATTTCGCCCTATCATTGAATTGAAACAAACATCTAATACTTATCTTTGGGCTCACTCTCTCTTCATCTTTGCCACCTTCTTATCTCAATCTCTCTCTCTCCCCATCTCCTAACAACTCCCTCCTCTCTCCCCCCTCTTGGTGTCTCTTCTCCAACTAGGGGCCTTGTCCACAAGCACAAGCACAAGCATTGTCAACTCATCTTTTCATCAACAACTGCCGCTACACTGCCATCGACTCCAGCGCTAGTGGAGGCATTGCTAGAGTAAAGACCAGTTGACCACCCTCTGTTCTTGGACCATCCGTGGCTTGTTCTTCCTCTGATCCTCCTGTCAAGTCCGGAGCTGGTTATGCCATGGTAGAGACCTCGGAAGCAGCCATCACCATAAACCTTGGAAGCTCTTTGCTGTATCTGTTCTTCAATAATGCCATCAATAAACTTAAAAATCTTCTTGAAATTAGCTGTCCATTCTCGAGTGCTTACATTGTGGGTCAAGTATACGAAGAAAAGAGAAGAACTCTGAAACATTAGAGCTTCTAGCTTCCTCTAAAATACCAAGTATAAGGTCTTTAAACTCTCGAGATAATGGACCAGAAGAAAGACCAACCAGGTCAATGGAAAAAAAAGTGTTTGAAAGAGAATTAAGTGTTGCTGCAAAGATAGCTTCATCAAATTGGACAAGGCATGAGAGTGGGGAAGGAGTGAGAAAGGAGGGTATGAGAGCGAGGGAGAGTGGAATTTCCAGCCCCCAATTTTTAAAATTAATGAACGCTTATGCCAGCCAAACAATAGGGGGTAAATTGTCCCAAGTCTAATTGCTTGGGATTCAAAAAGTACCAAATACGAGTTTTGGGTTCAAATTGCCTCTAGGCCTATAATTCAAGGTCCAAATTGCCATTTAACCCTTTATTTTATCAGCAAAAGAATAAACAAGATACAAGGGTGAGTGAACATTGTGGTTACCTGTAGGAAAAAAGGGTATTCTCCAAATTCAGTAAAACAACCAATTAAACATCTCATGTTTCACTTTTGCAATTGATAATCACTAACATAATGAGATGCCTAATAGAAATGAGTAGAATGAATACGTATGAAAAATAGTTGGTTATCCTATAAAAAGAAAATACAGAAATAACATACTCCCTCAGTTCAATATACAAGGCTTTTTATGAAGTACTATGTTAAAAAACATTGAGTTTCTCAAGGTGTAATTAATAAGATTTTTCCAAAAATATCGTTGCTCAAGGGTGTAATTAATAGAGTTTTAGTTGAGACACCCTATTAAATAAGAGTAAATATGAAAAGAATGTGTAATTTTAAATGCCATCAACTAAATTATTAGAGGGTGTAAATTAATTAAAAATGCCTTATGATTCTAAAGGGAGGGAGTATATATATGATCAGGTATTGCCCTAAGTAAACAGACATAAGTTAAAAAGGCTTTAGATAAAATAAATATTATCTCCATGACTGCCATCAAATTCACTTGAATACTTAAGATTGATAGTTACCTTTCTTGGTAGGTGGACTCTCTCTGAAGGACAGAATTACAGCATACGCAATGGTTACAAAATTCCTGAGCTTCTGGATCCACAATGTGTGTATTGAAATAGGTAACAATCAAATCATTGTTCTCTTGGGAACAGCAATCAATCATGGAGAACTCAGTAACATCATCAGCGTGAAGTATTCTCTTGAAATTTGCAGATCTTTGCTCCTTTCCCACAATTTCAGAGGCATCTTCATGAGAAATTAGCTTACTTTGCACTTGTTTAAATTCACTTTCATAATAACATACATTGTTGTCTGAACTCTCTTCTAAGATTGAAATAAACCTTTTCTTGGCTTTCTTTCTGTTTTTTCTATTTCCTAATAAATCAGCACGTTGGTTAACAAAACAAGCACTCTCATTGCTGTCAGCACCAGAAGCAAAATCATTGGAAAACTGTTTAGAAGTTTGATCAGCAGAAAAATCAGATGAATGAATGCCATTCTCTCTTCCATGGCTTTGGTTATTAAACATGTCCTTGGGTAGATTTAGTGATATATGCTCATCAATACCCTTGTTCACATAGTCTTTACTATGGAAATTATCAATTTCAAGCACTGATTGCTCAAATCCAGAGTAGTCAATTTCACTACAGCTTGTGTTACTATCAGAAGACGCCACTGAGAATGAGTCTGCAGAGAGCTGGAAAATTTCCTCCACCAAGTTTTGCCGGCGCTGAAGAAGGTCTTCTTGAAAGTGAGGAGGCGATGAGGGGCAAACAGATGATTGAGACCCAGAAATGTCATCAATCATTGTCAATGGTGATAAGACACCTTTTTCAGCTGTTCTATGTGTATCTTGAATGGTATGGGTATCACCGGAACTTCTAGAGTGTGAGAATGCACTATTAATCCCTTTCAAGGAATGAGATATAAGACGGTCCTCATCCACTCTCCCCAAGTCATTAAGAGAGGCCCAACCAGCATTACCAAGAAAACCTCTACTTTCAAAGTACTGCTGATTAAGAAGACTAGCAGATGCATCTATATAAGAACTATCAGACTCTACAATAGTCAAACTACTTTCATCTCCAGAGGCTAGAACAGAGTCTGAGGCATATCTTGAGACTTCAGATGTTTGCCCCTGGCTTGGCCCCTTTATTATATACTTCTCTTTCTGAGGATGCACTTTGGATCTGCCTTCTTTGCTGCTTTCCACATATTTACCAGAATCCCTATCCATCCACTCCTTAAATTCCCGCAACCAAAGAATAGAACGCTCTTTCTTCATATGCTCAACTTTATTTATTAAGTCCACTATTTCAGCTTCACCATCAGATAAATCACAATCATCTCGGCTTTGAACATCATTCCCACATGACACAGATTCCTGGTCAGAATACATGCTGGTGACGTCTTCTTCATTCTCAATACAGGCAAGACGGGAAGCTTTTCTCTGCTTGTTCCAAAAAACAAAAAATACAAGTGAAATGTCCATCTCCACATAGGTCAAAATTTATACTGTTTATTTTTTTCCAAAAAGTATGATGGACACATATCCATAAAATTGAGCTCTCAACTTTCAAATTTAGAAATAAGAGCATTTAGCACCAAGCTTAACATGCAGCAAAAACTTGATTTGACAATCTTCACTTTTACAAATACACAAGCGTATTGCCCAAAAAAGTACACAAAAAATTTCACCAATTACCTACCCTTCTATTTAATGTTTCCTGCTCTGCAGCCTCATCTTTTGCAGGCAAATAAACCCCAAAGGTGGAAGGTCTCCTATGCTTGCTGGCAATGATCAGTTGTCGCTTCCAAAAATCTTGGGTATTCATTTCCTTGTCATCTAATTTCAACTAATCAGCACATAAAAGAACAAATGCAAATTCAAATAAGTTAGTAGGTGAATATGCTTAATGACAAAAACACTTCAAACGTCAGAAACTAATGATAACTAAAACAGAAACCATGGGATAGAAAAAAAATTTAAAATGAAATAATACAAAAAACAGACAGACAAACAGGCAGACACTTTCAAATGTATGCTTACTACTTGCATATACTCAAACCATAGAACATAACATAACTTACTTTTTCAGGGAACATGAAGAAGCTGAATACTTGTGCCCTATACCATCGAGCACAACACAAAGGATTTCCTTCCAGCCAAAGCCTTTTAAGAACTGGAAGCCCAGTGATGTACTGTAGCTCTGAAAAATTGGAAATAATATTGTAGGAAACGTCAAGTCCTTCAAGTGACTTCAACATCTCAATCCCACGCAAAGTAGTTAGTGCATTGTTTCTCAAGACTAGTTTAACAATATGAAAGGAAACCTGAATGATCAAACAAAAATGGTAAGAGCCCAGAGCCAATTCCCAAATCAAGGATTTGAATTAAAAGCAAGGGTTAAAGAATTTGTCCGGCAAACAATTTCTGTCAACTTGAAGCACTATTAATAACTGTCAAGCAGAATTAACATAGTTTATAATATGACATGTTTTCTAGCAGAATCAACATGGTTTATAATTTGACATGTTTTCTAAGTTGTTGGCAATTGTCTGAAGCAATAGCCTTCAATTCAAACCCCAAATATCAACATATATTCCATCAATACTATATCCACAATAATATTATCATAAGAAAACGTACTTGTTCTTTAAACGTACAGTGCAAATGCAAATGATATCATTACATTCAACTTCCACAAACCCAGTTGAATAGCAGTGAAGTTGAAAGAAGATTCTCAAAGTAAATATAGCCAGGCCATTAATTAAACGAACATTTTGTTCATTTAAAAGATCAGACCAAAGCATGACCCAATAAAAAGATCTAATCAAAATGGAATGACTCACACCATTTCTACTCTAATATGTGGTGGCATGTCCAAATCCACTCCATGTATGCTTATACCTAATGTGATCAACTACATGGAAACAAAGGATACATCATACAATCCCTACAGTAATTTCCATTTTCCCACTCTAGTTTTATTCTGAATTCATGATGCATTTGCAACTTCTATTTTCCCAACTCAGCAAGATTCAAAGCCCACTATCATCAAAGCCTATGCTATTAGATATTAAAGGAAAGTCAAATGCATGATCAAGCTCAGGTCAGGACACATTCAGGCTAACCCTTGAATACCCTCAAGAATATCCAAGTGAAAGTAAGATTCATTCTTGGTATATAAAAACACAACTACAGATAAAGCAGTTCAATGATAATCAGATAATAACTAGCCAATACCACTTTATTGAACCAATTCCACTAAAGAGATTCAAAATTGCTCAATTAGATTATCCATGTGGTCGACAGCAGCTCGAACTCATTACCAAATGAAGAAATACGCCCCCAATTTAGAGCATCAAATCGAATAAACTTTCTTGGTAAGATATCTAAATCCCATCAGATGAAAACAAATTGCTCCTGCACCCCCCCCCCAAAAAAAAAGGATCCTGTTGAAGTTGCCATCGATAAATGCTTGCAGTTCAGAAGCATGAACGTTTTGAAATATTATTAAACAAAAAACAAAACAGAAAAATAAAATTAAATGGCCCTCAGGTTTTCATAATACGGAAACATTTTAACATTCACTTTCACACCTATAGCCTAATAGCCTATAGGAAAACTAGACATTAGCATTTGTAACGAGCACCAGACTGCCTTCCACAGCAACCACGCATAGACTTTTCCATGCAATCATCCAGATAATAAATATTTTCACCAAGTACCTCATTGAAAGGCGCAATTGTTCTCAGGTGATTGAAACCAAGGTCCAAGTGCTTCAATTTTGTGCACTTACGAAGATTATCTACCTTAGCAAACTTGTTCCTGCTAAGGTCAAGCGTTTCAACAGCAGGAAGAAGCTGCAAAGACTCATCCATGAGAACCAAACCATTGCATGCACAAGAGACAAACGACAACCGGTTCCACTGCGGAGAATTCTTAATTTCTGCTATCCTGCTTGCAAATACATGCCGCAGAGCATCCTAGCAATAGGAAACACTAACATTCAATCCACTAAAGACGAAAAGAAATTGCACATAATGAGATAATTTCAAACTTTCTAAAGCAAAACCGTTACTTGATGGTTTGGGAAATGGGAAACAAGTAAACTTCACAATTAATAGCGACGAACATACTTTATGCCTTACAGAATTTTCGGACAGGGGAAAAGAAAGAGGAATAAGCAAGCAAACCGTGGAATTATGACAAACGATTTTCTCAAGAGTGTGCCTAAGCTCGAGCAACCCTTTAGCGGCCGAAGTGGACAAGTCACATCCCCTGAGCTCCAAAACTTTCAACCGCCCAAAAGGCAGGAAAGACAAGGGTGTGGGATCCCTGGTAGGCGGTGGCAAGACAGAAACGACCTTCAGCGAGGTAAGAAAGCGAAGAATCCGACGGAGTTGCTCAAGAGCGCGGTGATCACCGAGGTCTGAGACATAAGCTCGCAAGTAGTCAACGGGTGCACCCGCAAGAAGGCTCTCAAGCTCATGCAAGGCCTCAAACCTAGATTGAACATAGTGAAGCCCAGCAGGATTGAGCTTCAACACCAGAGTTCCTTCAATCAGAGGGCCAGCTTGTTCGTGTACGAACTTCACCAACTTCTCCAGGTACCGATCTCCAGTTGCAATCGCCATTTCAATACAGAGAGAGGCGATCCCTTCAGGCCTTAAGGTCGAATCAGGGTTTTGGCATAGAAAACAGAACCCGCCAACTCCATGGGAAAGCTTTCGCAAACTGAAACATTGACAAAAAGAGAGAGATGCAGACGAAAAGATGGGGATAACTGCGCAGAGGGAGCAGAGAACTCTGAAAGGCGAAAGAATTTCACAACAGAAATGGGAGGAGCGAGAGAAAAAAGGGTTGTTTGGAAGGGATTGACGAAAGAGAAGAAACAGCCATTGGCACGAAACGGCTCTTGAGGGTGATAGAGGGAGAGATTAGTGAGAATGAAAAATTACAGATTAGGGATGTGATGTAATGTAACGTCATGATTAAGAGAGAGTGTGATGAAGAATCATCAAGATCAATATTCAACGACACCTTGCGTTGCAAAAGTCACCCAAACAATTAACAGTTATTAAATCTTTCAACAAAAATACAACTAAAATCTTTTTAGAATTATATATAAAAACAGAAACATACAAGGAAAGGACACGTGGCGAGCATGCATTCTCCTTCTACATTCCCATTTCTCTCCTCCCGCCGCATGTTCACTTTGTTTTCTCACGTTGACTGGTACTATACAATTTGCTTTTTTTTTTTGTTATACCAAAAAATAATATTATTTTATGTGCATGTTTATTTGATTAAAAGAAATACAATAATTAAAAAATAAAAAATAATTTTCATATTGAAAATATTAACAAAATAAAATGGGGAAGTTAATGAAATATGATTTCATAAAAATTAATCATGCAACATCTTATTTTGCCTATTTATAAAATGAAAATGACACTAGTTTTCTTTCTATAATGTAATGTATCGTGTATGAGATGGATAATAATCAATTTTGTTTAGCATTTTAACTTTGAAATGTGTGTTTATATTGAAGAAATAAAAAGACAATTTCATCAAATCTATGTACAAATTATAGCTTATAAATGGTTTAATCTATAGATTTTATACTCTCTCTCTATATATATATTATCAAAATATTTTATATTATATATTAATATTGATGATATATTGACCTATTATGCAAATTACTCCCTGAAATTTAGGTCTAGTAGTATCATAAACTATAAACTTATCTATTATATAAATTATTCCTTTAACTTTTTAAAATGATAGAATATAATGTTATCGTTAATAAAAGTTAATTTTGATGGCTAATTAATTAAAAAATGACCTTAAAAATTATATAAAATGATGGAAAAAAATTGATCAATTTTTGTAATATTTTGGTTCGTTGTCTATAATTTTAAATTTTTGAGTCTTTTATTGTAACTTGTGTTATTTTTTATAATTTTTAGTATTCTTTTATATCATGTTAATACCAACTAAAGGTCAAAATTAATTTTTATTAATGGTAAAAGTTGAATTATATTATTTTTAAAAGTTGAGGATTATGTTGTATAATAAACGAGTTCAGAATTTGTGATCACTGATAAATAAAAATTATAAAAAATGTCAACAGTAGGTACATTTTTTTAAAACAAAAATAATTTTTAAAATCATATAATGCCAGTATTACACGAGTTTGGTTCCTTTTAGAGAAAATCTTATCTAGGCTTCAAAGGAGAGAAAAAAATTGCACTTAAAACCCAATATATTTTAAAATTATTCTACTGCTCTAATGGTCTTTTTTGCAAATATATTTTAGAGAGAAAAGTCACAATTGCCTTTAGTGAGAAAGAAAAAACTTTAAATTCATTAACAATGGACAATTACTTGTTAATATATAAGTCTAAAGTTGTGAATTTGTGAACATCTAGTTGTAAAGATTTGAATTTGCTGTCATGATAAATTTTAATTTTTAATATATGAAATCATAAATTATGTGTCTTGACTTGTGAGTAGATGATCATGTTGATGTAAAACAAGGGAAGATAAAAAAGAGGAAGAGAGAGAAAGGAGGGAGAAAGCCAAAATAAATTGATAAAATTAAGATAAAAATGAACTAAATCACCCTTTCCTCCATAGTAAGTATGATAAAACTCATTAATATATACTACAAATATGAGAATCATTACACTCTTTGAAAATCTGATGAATCATAATTCTTAACTTTATGAACTAAATTATCTCGCCTCTTTATGAATGTGCTCGCCAATCCTTTTTGATTATTTTATTTTTACCTTTATTTTTTCAATCCATTCAATTCTAGCAAGCAATTAACAATTACTTGTTAATATGTGAATCTAAAGTTATGAATTGGTCAATATGTAGTTGTAAAAAATTATAATTGCTATCACAATAAACCTTAGTTTTAAATATATAAAGTTATAGATTATGGATTTTGAATTACGAATAAATGAACCTATACTTATAAATATTTAAACATTAAGTTGTCAATTTATTAAGTTAGTCAAAATGAATATGTAAACTATAAATAAGAATTTTATTTTTGATGAACAATTACTTATTGATATGCAAACCTAAAATTGTGTTCATGAACAAATAATTATAAAAATTTGAACTAGTACTTATTGCTTTTTTCTCACTAAAGGCAATTGTGTCCTTTCTTCTTAAAAAATGTTTACAAAAATGAATGTTGGGCCTGCAAAATAATTTCAAAATGTACCGTGTCCTATAATTTTTTCTTTCTTAGAGCCCTCAACGAGATTTTCCACTTCCTTTCAAGTAGAATTGTTCCCAGCCTTACTTCGTACACGATCTATTAGTAAGGCCACACATCACGTGCTCTTGCTGCTGTGCTGCAGGCACTAACCAAAACGGCCACCCTGTACAATGATTCGGTCCCAAATGTTAGTTGGCTGTATGCAAATTCACAAGTTTACAAATACGCTCTTGTATTTATATTATAATATATTTTTAACTAACACATCGGAAAAAATAATAAATTATTAATTTTATTTAAAAATAAAATATTTTTTTATTTTACCTGTGTTTCGATTTTCTGTATTTAAATAATATTTTCCTTTATAGTTAATAATTTTAAATAGAAATAACATTGGAAAAAAAAATTAATGAATGCTTCATTAATTGATTTATAACAAGGATCGCTTATCTCCTTTATAAGATAATGTAAAACATAACTATACCTTCCATTATTGTTCTTTCACTCTTTGTTTTTGTTATGCTTTCTTCAAAAATGGCAAAAGAGTACTTCCTCTACTTGAAGCACTTCTTGCACCAACAACTTTGTTGGAACTTGTTCTCCGTTTTGTTGAGTGGTATTTTAAAAAGAAAAAGATTCTTCTATCCTATCCAACATTTTTTTTCATCAACTTTTAAAGCAAAGTCATAAAAATTATTCTCAAAAGTTTCATTTGTTGATAAAATACAATAATATTATATAATTCAAGTAGTAACTCCACTTAGTGAAATGATATTTGTTGTCATGATTGTTATTGTTAATTACTTTTTTTTTTAATTCTATTTGACTATTTGTTTGTATCATGGTGGCACACATAGGAAATTGAATGCTCCTGTCTGTTAGTAGATTTTTGGGCTTGAATATGGATAAACATGGAGCTCCCATAAAGAAAACCCGTTAATGCAATTTATTTATCTTTTCTGACCTTATACACTTCAAAAAATTTGTATGCTTTATTTTAATTATTGCTTGAGGTGCCCACAGCACCTGGCTTCTAAGGAGAAAAGGGTCAAAGCATGAGCCAAATGGGACACATGAATATATGCTGAAGGTGAAGCTTTGTATCAAAGTACCAAGTAGCAGAAATTTGGACCCATGGACTGTCATTGTCAGAAATATGGATGGCAAGAAGTCACTTTCTCATAACCCAATCATAGAGGAACATATTCAGGTTTAAAAAAGAAAAAGAAAAAATCCTTGTGGTCTGAGGAGCATCAAATATTAACTTTTACTGCAGTGGTTAAGAATTTTAAGTCAATGATTGTTCCCACTTGGCCTTAATTCCCTGCCTCCCTGCATGTGCCTGCCTATGATAGCTATCAGATGCCATTGCAGACACCAAATCAAAGAGTTATGACAGAAACCACGGTCGTGGATAAAGGCAACAACATTGCCTAAACTTCGGGGAAGTTTTTCATCTGAACTAGGAGTGCAATTACCGTCTCATGCATAGGGTGATCGCATTCAGTGCTCATCTCTGGGCCTTTATTTTTTATCAAATGATATTTGTCATAGATTTAAAATTATTTTTAAAATATTTTTATATTAAATTTATCAAAATAAAAATTATAAAAAAATATAATATTAAATATAAACTGTTTAGAGTATATTTAGATAATCAATTAATTAATATTATAAAATTTTAATATTAAATTGAACCTTCTAAATTATATTTGTACTGTTTATAATACATTTGAATAGTCAATTTGTAAAAAATATTAAAAAATAATATTAAATTGGATTATCTAAATTAAATCTATATCGACCAATTTGGTAATAAACAAATTTATTAAAAACTTCTATATTTTTTACATATTTTTATATTAATAAATATAAAATAAAATTAAAAAACTTAAATTCAAGCAATCTAAATCTTATCAGGGGTGATGAATACTGTAATATTTATCCTTTAATAATATAAAAAACAGTTCATATTTAATATTATAATTTTTGTATATTTTACTTTATAAATATAATATTAAAATATTTAAGAAATAATTTTAAATCAACAACATAGATCATTTAAAGAAAAATGAATGGTTTAGATCACCCCACATTGGTGATGAGCACGGTGCTCATCAGAACCGAGTGCATTCCCCTGCATGGGATGTTTTAGGTAGCGTGTGAGAGCTTTTGGGGGGGGGGGTGGTTTGGGGATGAAATGGAAAGTCTGACGAATGCATAGGATGGGTTTTAGCCTTTTAGGTAGTGTATGATATATATATATATATATATATATTATCACCGCTTTTTTTTTTTTTTTTTTAAGGAAGTAAAGTGTCTTAAGAGTTAAGATACCCTCTCCCTCTCTCTCTTTAATTATCCCAAACTCAGTTTTTCTTTTCCAGTATAATTTTGGAGAAGACACGAATACTTTTATAAAATATTTAGTATGGAAGGAATAATAATTTAGAAAATAAATTTTTTTATATAAGATTTATTTTTATATAATCCAAATTTTCAATTTATATAAGGCTTAAGAGTCAATTCTATTGATTTTAATTAGTTTTATCTTTTTTTTGTAAGTATAAGGAGCATGCTATATATAAATCAGGTTACTTAATTATTTTAATTTTAAAAATTGGCATTATAGATTATAATTTATAATTTATAACAGACAGGAAAATTAGAAAAGTGACGTATAAAAAAGGTAGACACAAAAGTATTAAAATTGAATTTTATTTTTGATATAAAAAAAATGAAAGTGCGTCATTCAAAGAACGGCGGGACAAAAGAAAGGTTGAAAATGAGAATTTACTATTATAGGTAGAACGAGCAGTGCCACAACATTGGGCTCACACACAAACACACTGACAAATTTATTTCGAAGTCAGTTCATCCATCTAGGCAGTTGTCCATAAACATTTTTGTTCAATCATGTGACACTCTCTTCGAATCTATTTACTGGGATTAGCGTAAGCATAAATTCTCAAGGGCAGTGTAAATGTGAAGTCACCTCGTTTACAAAACCAATCTTGGCTTTCTTTTTCTTTTCTTTTTTGGCCTGAAAAGTGGGTTTCATTCACACCTCCAGAAACTTATTTTTAGTTATTTTTATTAGTCTATTGCACACTCAATTAGTAAAATTTATATACCTAAAAAATTTCTCGTAGCTTGAGATATGGAGAACGGACAGAAAATATGTGAACCAAGCAAAGACAAAGCGCAACGTTGCCATCTGCCTCCTCCGTCATTGCTAGGTTATATGCAATGTAATCCTTCGTAACTTTCAAAATTTCTTACATATGGGAATTTTCTGGAGCACTGTGACAAAGGCTTTTGAAAGTTCAGTCATTTTATGTATGTAGGGAGACGAAGCAGGCATAGCAAATCTATCTGAACTAGGTTGTCCATACAGCTTAAAATTACTGATCCAATTTCTATGGTAAAAGTTTACTATATATATACACAAACTAGTTACTTTGTTTCACCTGTTTTCCATTCGCTGCGCGTCCCTTCTCTTCCTCAACTTGTTCAAGTAGTGCTTCCAGCTCTGCTTCAGTTAGGCCCTCTAATCGTTTCTGCAAATTCAGAGAACACAACATGAATCAATGAGATTCAATTTTGAGTCATTTATGGACGGGAAAAAAAATTCAGCGTCATCATCCAGAAAAGAAAAATGCAAGTGAAATCTCATCCCAGGGAGTGCTACTGTTATAAACAATGACTAAAGATACATACAAATCGTATCGTCTTATTACAAAGATAAATCAAAGACTGTAAAGCAACCAATAAGAAAAGCTGGGAATATGTTTCACTAATCTTAGTAGCACAAAAAAGTAACGCAATTTCCACATTTACGAACAGGGATTGTGGCTTCATTAACCAAGTGCGGAAAGCAACAGTTTGAAAATAGCTTACCATAAACTGCAATATGCTTCAAAATGATGGGTTAAAAGTAATGAGAAGTACGGAAGGAAATTTAACAAGCACATCATGGCACTATGATGTGCGATGTAATTGGCCCTTAAGTAATTTAGAAGTTAGCGAACTAGACAAATGAAGTTGACAATCAACACCAGATATGCACTTGAAGATCTTATCTTGTGGCAAATCACATATTATTTTAGCTAGAAACTATAGGGAAAAGAAAAGATCTTGTCATTTTGTCTACCTCCATCACTTTGTATTCATAGTCCCGTAATTGTTGAGCATATGTCATCTCCTTGTTTGAAACTCTAAAGATATATGTTGAGATCCATCCAACTGTGAGTCCCAAAACCAGCACCAATTGAACCACATTCCCAGCTTGCAGTGGATCCACTCCCACAAACTGCATCGAACATGGCAAAATTATTTTTTTCCAGGTAATATTGCCGACATGGTCTCCATCATATCAAGGGTGACAACTATTATAAGAACCAAAAAGTCACACCGCAATGTTCTTTTATTGCATAATGCATCTGATTTATTTGCCAAGAGCCATCTAAATACACTCTCATTCTTATATCAGAAAAAATGCTATGGGATTGAAGGAAATCGTGAAATAAAATAAGATGGAAAATGTATACAAATGATTGCATTACATGAGGGGGAAAAGTACCTCTAATCCACTTTTCAAGGCAATGCCAAGGACCGTAACTCCAAGCCCAATTAATAGAACATCCTTTCTCGTATATCCAAATGGTGTCTTCTGTAGGGTGCAAAAGATAAAATCACAATTTGTTGTTCCAGAATTTACTTGTTAAATAATCGGTGGCCGATAAAGTATCTAGATAATTTCAATTTAAGTATCATATGATCAAAATAAAAATGGTCCTCTATAAACCAACTAGTCTTTATTGTCACCTAAAATAAATTGGTGTTTCATTCCATTCTCCATCTATTGATCCTTTTTCAAAAATCAATACAAAACCATTATCACGTCACATGGAAATCACAAAGGACCACCCATGGTTAACAATTTGAACGAACATGGAAGACACTCTTAGAGACCAAATGCTTTTACATATACAAGTAAGGTTGAGGAATTGCCTCCAAAAAAATATAGTTATGCTCACTTTCATCCATCTAAAAAGAGTGAATTACTATGCTAATAGCCATGTTCAGTCAAGTGTCACAGGGGAACCATAGCATAGGTAGTTTTTGATACATGCCTCTGTCTGATCAGATGGGGCATCCTCACTTCCACTAGAGTTTGAAGAGCTACTACTTCTGGCGACAGAGAAGCCCTCATTCTTCAAAAAATTTCCACCAAATCTCTTTTCTGGTGAAGAAAAAATCTTCTTTCCATATAAGCATTGAGAAATTATTGTTCCTGAAATGTTTCAGTTTAAAAAGCATCACAATCAGGCATAGAGAAAGTCCTGCATGAGAATAAATCATAATCAATGAAGAAATTGCGCTGTTCCATTCATAATCAGAAAATCTATAACAGATATTGACAATTAGTAGGTCGTCAAGTTCAACACAATCAACAGAATGCTGCAGTGTTACGGGTCAACCATCACTCAAATAAGTCTGTGATTGCCTGTGAATCATTTCAAAAATTAAGCATTCAGGCTAATAGTATAACGGTTCCACAAATTTTAGCTTCGTATCATTGACTCTCAATATCCATACCTGGCCAACATATAGACCTTTCCATCAGGATTTTAGCACATCTACTTATATAATCCCAAGTATGATACTTTTTCCACTAGTCTAGAGTCTAAGATTCCCTTTGGAACCGTCTAAGAATATTTTCAACTATAGGAAGTTCAGTTTTCTATAAGATTCCCTTCGGAACCGTCTAAGAATATTTTCAACAATAGGAAGTTCAGTTTTCTATAAGATTCCCTTTGGAACCGTCTAAGAATATTTTCAACTATAGGAAGTTCAGTTTTCTATAATATTCCATATTCTACTCATTACTGTTTGATAGAGCTGATTTTGCTTTCCAGCACAGAGATGCAACGAGCTTTCAATCAATAATCATTACAAAATATAGCAACGGAGAAATCTTATATATTATGCATATATTAAATGGGAAATTTGCAGTTCCTTTCCTGTGACAAATACCATATCATGCATATATAATTTGTCATTATTGTGTCTATGATAAGGGAATATCAATTAACAGGACTTGGCCATTTACACTCTTATAAAGATCAAGAGAAGACAGAATAGGTATAAAAGTAAGATGTAAAGGAGATTTTAGTAATTTCACATGGCTAAAACTTGACAGTCAATTTAGACTGTGGGGGGGGGGGGTTTATTGCAATGGTTCTAATAAATCATGGGGCAATTGCAACTTTTTATAGATAGGGCATGGAATTTGAAGCAAGAGGTCAGAGAATCCCTGCCATATTTGCATGGTATTCAGATCTTATCATTACACTTATCATCTTTTTTTTCCCCTTTTTATCTCTCTTCAAATATATCATATATATATATATATATTCCCTTTTGGGAATGCAGGGGATCCAGATTACTCGAATCCCTAGATTCATGCATTTACACCTTTAAGAGAGAATGGCACAAAAGAACATGACTATGCAATATGCATGGAATTCATAGCATTATTACACTCCTCATTTCTTTACTCTCAACTCCTCTCTGAATAGAGAAAAATAAGTAAACGTAGTTAACGCCATGGAATGTTTTTTAACTTTTAATAAAAATACAGCAGGATGATTGAGTTGCTTTCATGAAAGTCTTCGAACTTCACAATTCACATTATTAGTTGGAGAGAGCTGCCAAATGAATATTGATTACCTGTAGACTACATAGGAATGAAGTATCTGAAGTAGGAAAATAGTAATATACTTCATTCCTTCACATCTTCAACAGAACTCGGCTTCAAATGTATGTCATATAAATTATGCCCAAAATTTTTAACAACGATTAAACAAGAAGTAGTTAAGTAACTGACCTCTCCTGAAACATCTACACACTGTTCTTCCCGTTTGCAAGCAGGGCAAAGCAGAAATTCTCCCATGGGGAATCGCACCTTTTTCTAATAAAAAGCGGCAATTCACATTGCCGTGCGGAAGAGAGGCCATTCCTGAAGAAATTTATCACAAATTACACACATAACCAATGAACTATATCGCAAAATCCCAAGCAGAGATAATGAAGAAAGAAAATTGATTCAAAAGGCAGTCTTACACAGATTAGCTTCAATCATGGCTTTGCGGTTGCCTAATGAGTATTAATTTGTCCAATTAAAAAGGGGGAAAACATTGATTATCAAAACAGGCATGGACTTAAATCTAGGAGCATGAGCACAAACAGTGAGGGAGGAATTACCTGGTGGAGCGAGTGGAAGCAGAAACAGAGATGAGTGGAGACCGTTAATGCAGTGAAGATGAGGTTTTTCGTTAATCCCCCCGAGTCGCGAGTTTTACGTATCAGACTCGGATCATTTGGGTCCCACTTTTCTCTCAATCATAAATATCTCTAGAATAAAATAGATCGGACGGATTTAATCCCACAAAAAAAAAAAAAAAGATCGGAAGGAGTTCGTTCCCTCTTAATTTTGCACTCCAAATAAAACAAAGATCACGCTTTGGCAAGAAAAAAATCTGAACAAACTAATGAGGAAATTTTTAAAACAAAATACGAAAGTAAGCTCTTGATTTAATTTACAGGAAATTAAATGGAAGGATCTACAACCATCAATATTTTTTATAAAGGGCCATAAAAATTCAAATTATGTTGAAGGACCAAACCACAACTGATAGACCTATGCCCTTGTGAAAGAGATTTGACTAAATGACTGAATTATGTCCGCATGCATTTTGTTTCCATCCTTCTTTTCAGACTCAGGGTGCATTGTTTGGTATTCAACAATTTCGATAACACTTATATAAAGTTGTCTTTAGTAATTAAAGAGCTTTTTATTGAACTAATACTCTTCAAGTCAGAGATCAAGTTAATTAAAAATGAAATGTCAAATGACATTTTGGATTCTAAATTATAGGTATAGTGACGATTTAAACTTTGAATTTATATTTAATATATTGTAAACATGAACAATTAAATATGGCGCAACCTCGCCCCCATCATTAATTTAGAAGTAACAACAGTTATTTTAAACATAGTGGGGGCACATTTTCTCACACCTTCTCTGATTACTTTACATTGCTTTCATATTTTACTCTCGCTTTAAGCATCCCAATCTTTTGTCTTTGATATCAAAGAGTAGAGGGAAGCTTTTTTCACCGAGCAAGGCGACAATACACAAGTTGGGAGTGATGAATGGTCTAAGGTTTGAAGTACTTGTTGCAGCCCTAGTTATAGAAATAATCAAGATGGTCTTTGACAGGTTAATGGAAATTGGAGTTGGAGAGAAGGAAAAGAGATGCTGAAGGCCACTTGAGGAGAGCATATCAAAGAGAAGGATGAAGATAAGATTTGCATCCCCCACAATTTCTTCTATCAAATGAAGCATTCACACACTATCCCTTGCAAGAAACCTCAGTTTACCTACACTTAGTTCTACTCTTCACATTCACACACTTGTTCTTAAAGCAATTTGGCTCTCCACTGCTCTTTAAATGATATACTTTGGGAAGCTTGTTGCACGATGTTGTGTTATAATAATACTTCTTAATAAGGAATTGCCTCATTGCTCTCACGTCGTTGTCTTCTTCCCCTTGTGTTTTGAACCCTGTAATGTCATTTACTATTACAAATGAAGAAGAACAATCTAAAATGGCTATGATTAGTGCTGCAATAAGGGTGATGATTAAGGTTTGTAAGAGATTGTTCGTCATCATGGCAATAGATGTGATGATTGATAAAACTTGTGTGTTGAGATTGTTGAAGGAGTGAGGCTTTATATATATATATATATGAGTAAGAGAGAGAGAGAGAGAGAGAGAGTTAGATTGATGGTTGACAAGAAGAAACTGGATTCTCAAGGATCACTTTTTTCATGGTACATCTAGGTTTATGATACTATTGAATCATTTGAGAAGACCAAATAGTGGGGTTGAAGACGAGGAAGAAGAGCAAGAGAAAAGAGCTTTGGAGAATCCCAAAGAAGAGCCAAAGATAGAGGACATTTGTAGAAAGGAAGGTGAGATAAAATGTGGGCCCATTATGCTTTATTTATCAACCATGGTTAGTTCCAAATTAATGGTAGGAGTGAGATTTTCCCAAATTTAATTACTCAAAGTTTAAAATATATCTATAGTTGAGTTTAGAATGTCTAGTAACCCTTCAGTTAAAATATAAGTGAAAAAAGGACCCTTAATTCTAGAATTTAAGAGTACGAACATATTGAATTCCATAAACTCTTGAAAGGGTATCCCATAATTAACAAGGGACATCTATGGCTTTGATGGATGGTACTCTTATTATGCAACGTCAATCCAACAATGAGTTAATATTGTTATGTAATGCGAATTACGATACAACACACAATTACAATTAGGTTTCTAGTTGAAAACTGTAAAAAAATAGGGATCTCACCTAGAACCTTTTGGAAAACCATTTTAAATTGTTTAAAATTTCCATTAAAGCCTAACGGAAGAATAAGAATTGTATATATCACATAAGAAGTAAACTAAAACAAAACGACAATTTTAGGTTGAATTGAGTGTCGCAGCATATGGTACAGAGCAACATCTTCTTATTCTATGACATGCACCATGGTATGTGCACCATGTGCTGTGGCATATGCATAAGATTTTGTTGTCAAATAGCACATTTGATACAAACTTCCATCGTGGGCCCTTCTCACATATGGTTTTCGATTGGGTTGATTTAAGTGTCCACACGAAACTTATTTTAAAATCTAGCTAATGATATTGGTTTCACAAAAATCTAATATTTTGTTTAAAAATTAGACACCCGAATGCAAAATCCTTTAAGGCTTTGACCACATCTAAAAGAATATTTAACACTTAATTGACCATTTATATCATTAATATCACACATACACACAAGTTTGGCCGCTAAGTTGCCATTATCAACACTTAGGCAAAATCACACATTTACACACACTTAGCCAAACCTTACAACACACACCCACCCATGCACATACGTACTTGGCACTATATCTCAGCCCTTGATTACACAAAAACACACACATCACATAAGCATATATAATAGGGTTAAGTTACAAACAAATATTATAATATCCTCAATTTTAAATCCAGATTAATTAAGCTTAAATAGACTAATAAAGTTTATTTATGAGGTGTGTGGCCAAAAAGGCTTAATGGGCGTGTTTGGTCTTAATTTCAGTTCTAAAAGTGGGTTTAAAGGAGAATCGGGTCACCCGAGAATAGAAGAGGAAGAATTCTAAAGGAAGTAATTATGTGTCGTGTGTCACGGCTTGTTGTTGGTTCGTCGCGGTGCATGCGTGACAAAATGCCTGGAAGAGGCCCTCTGTGCCATGCGTCACGGTGTATTATGCGTCCGTCATAACGCATGGCCAGATTTTTGCAATATTAACTCGTGAATCCGAAGTGAAAAATAAGAGAAAACAAAAGAGAATGAGAGAGTAGCAAAAAAGCTGAACTAGGGCTTGAAGAAACTAAATGTTGGGAATAATTTAGAGCTCATAAACACCAAAGGTAAACTTCCTTGATTAAATCTTTCTCTCTTCTTCCATTTTCTTAATGGTAGAGGTTAGGGTTTGATTTTTAATGGTGATTTTCTGTCCATAGAAGTTATGGGCCCGAACCCATTAACTTAAATAGAGTTAATGGGGGTAGATTGAACTAAGTAAACTTGATATTTATGATTTTATAATGATTGATGGTTGGAGGACATTAAATGTCTGAAATTCTCATAAATTTAGAGGTTGGGATTATTGTGGCTTCATTAATGCTCATTTAAGAGCTTAATGTTATAAATGAGAGTTAAAGGAAGCTAAGAAGCCTTTTAAGTACATTTACATAAGTCTAGAATAAATCTTGAGTATTAAAAAATAATGAAATGTTAATAGAAATTAGCTCAAAATGAATATTGATGTTTTGTATGGTATATACTTGTAGTGTAACTACCATTGACACTATTCAAGCTTCTTGGAAGCCTCAGGAGTGAATAGTTGATGGATGAAACTTTTGACCTCTCAAATGTTTGAGGTAATCGGGAGAATTCTACCTTATGCTTGTGTGTGTTTATTAGTTTATTGATGTATGATTTATCATTGGGATGTATAAAATAAAAAGAAATGCAAGTGTGGCTTAAATTGTGAAGAAATCCATTAGACCAAATATGTGAGTTTTATGCCTTGTGATGTAAAATTTCCTTGAGAAAAATAATGGTGGATTTTTGTATCAATGTTTATTGGAAGTTCAATGATTTTGCAATTTGAGAAGTAACATGAATCTTTGTTTAAAAGAAGTTCAATGATGTTTTGAAATAGTGGGGTTCAATGATTTTGAAATTGTAAAGTTAGAGTTCAATGACCTATTTGTTTTGAAGTTTCATGAAATGTGATTGAGAAGTTCAATGATTGTGTAATGACGAAGTTTAATGAAAATTGATATGTGAAGTTCTATGAATTGTATATGTATGAGTTATGGCATGAATGTGCATGACATGATCTTGAAAGGCGGGAGTTTGCCTAGGAAGCAGAGTAGATGATAAAATCTATGTGGTAAGGCCCCATCCGTGTGATGGTTTACCTAGATTGATTATATCTATATTGTCCTACTTGTTCAATAAGGGACTGTCCCACTAATTTAACGAGAAACTCGAACCTAACTAACTATCCATTGGATTAATGAGGAGGCTAATCTAAGGTGTATAACACCCCATGGTGTGAGAAATAGGGGAACTATGATCCATAAGTGAGTTGGGTGCGCATTGGCCGGGGAATCCCTTCCCAAATGTTTAAACTAGGGAGGTCAAGGAATATAGACTATCCCATTGAGTTATAGTCCACGGTTTTGTGTTACAGGAATAAGGAGGATACAAGAGAGGTGTGATCATGCATATAGTGAGTAAAGGCACTTGTTGTCTATATTGAGTCCACAATGATGACATTTTGAGTTGAGTATTAATTTCTGCCATTATGCTTGTCAATGATTTGTGTGATCAACTCTATTTATATGAAAGGTGCTAAAAATATTGTTTTCTAGATAGATGCTATTATGTGAGCTGAATTGTGAATATCTAATTTCAATGGTCTCACATGGGTTAAAGTATTAATATTAACTGTCACTTGCATTTAAACTAATGGATGGGCATTAGTATGGGCTAGTCGAACCTTGGTTACTGAGTAGTTGTACTCATCTCGTTATCTTCAATATTTTAGAAAATAGCTCAAGAAGTATGGATGGAGGAAAACACCCCGAGGCTTAGGATCGCGACCCATTTGTAATAAGCCTTCTTATTTTGGATAACTTATGTGTATGACAATTTCGATTGCCAAGTAGGATTTCTCTTTTTGTTACTTACTTGTATTAAGTAAAATGCAAGTGTAATGGTATTTTAGGCCCT